GTGTCGCTACCGTAGTCGATTCAGGAGTTGGTGGAACATCTGCACTGGTTGAAGCCCGTTCATTAATCATTTTTGCCATACTTCCTACAATTCAGCTGTCCAAAGCTTCATGTCCCTATTCAAATTCATCCAACGAGTAATATGGCCAACATTGGGAAGGAATCCATGATAACCCGTACCACAATCAAAACAGATGCTATCTCAAGAACCAATCTCAACGGCTAGAAACGAAATCACGTTGAAAAAAGCTTTTCCAGCCTGCTGTTAAAATAACACTGACCAATTTCCCAGCTCATTTTGTTTTGTGCAACAAGAATTGTACCCAATAAATAAAGATTCCGAAAACATGAAATAAAAGCTAAGCTTCCTCGTTTTAGCATCGCAAACTCACACACATAATTGTATTCATCTTAAAAGAAAATGAAAAGAATTATGAATGCAGGGAAAACTATTCAACCACAAGACAGTATTAATTTAAATCCCTTCAGTTTTATGCGATTATTACCATCATCAAACATAATAATAAAATGACCATTTAAAGAAGCAAAGGAGCGTAGGCATAACAACTTCACAATGGAAACAAATCTGCTATCTGAATAGTGGCTAATATAATGCATTCACGATCAGCAATATTGGCTATTCGGTTACTTATAATATAAATCAAACTAAACACAGGAAATGCAAAGATAATGCGCTGAAAACTGAAAAGTAGCCATTCACTTAAGTGAACAAAGTGATACTGCATTACCATCCGGCTTTTGCGTGCAATGTACAGAACAAATGGAAAAAGAAAGTATGCACTGAAACATAACAGAAATAAATTACGCATCACAGATCAAGGATATATGGCGAAATATGGACCATATGTTACAGTAATTTAAATTAATCGTATCGCATAACAACTTTAATTTCAAAACAAAGAATGTAACGCTGGAAATAACAAGAATTATACGCTTTTAAACAGATGGAGAAAATAAAGAAATCACTGTTTTTACCAGGTACTTCCCATTATATCCCGTACTTTTGGATGTTACCCGTAGAACTAAGCATCATCTTTACAGATCTCCAAAAAACAAACAACGCTAATCAAACTTTCTGAAAAAAATAAAAATAAGGAACAACTAAGTTTTATGCATCAATTCGACATATAAAAAGAACAAATAACAAAACAAATATAATAAAAAAAAAAAAGAAACGATGTAAAAGTAATACAGACAACAACCCCACAATCATCTTGAGAACGTTTTTTTCTCAGACTTACAGATCATGCAATGGAAAGATCAGGGAGACGCAATTTGATCGGATTTCCTTTTGGAGTATCCTGACGACGCTTTGCCATAGCGGTAACTCGACGTCCTGAAAATCACTATATCAAGTTCCCTTAATTTCAGTCGCCCTCTCTCCACTAATTTTTCATTTCAATTATATACTATTATTGCAAACTTTCAGTACAAGAGCGCAGCATATTATTCCGTAGTTGCACTACCGTAAAATTCACTTGACATGATTTTAACATAGCTTTAGAGTCGTCAAAGTGTTCTACCCCTTCCCTGCAAAACTTCAGAACAAGGTCAATTACCCGGAACTGCCTCTAGATCACCGCAATCCTTATGTTCCACAGAATTTGTCGTTTTCATTCCACCGGATTGGAATTGCTCAGTAGTTAAAATCCATCGTAACTTTTTCTTCGGAATTTCTTCATGTTCAGTTTTTCCCTTCGAATACTGACCACTTCCATTCAGGACTTCCACCTTAGCGTACTTCTCTGCAGTAAGAACCTTCTCTTCATCAGCCTTTAGCAGTGCAGCACTATTCGTAGGCGGAAGCACGGCACGCTTTTTTCGAACAGCATCTGAGTTGGCTTTGTTATACCCTGTTCTATGAACCGAATTCTCGGAATTCACTTTCCTGATTTTTTCTGCACTGTTGTCCATTGACTGCATCTTGATTTGATATGACCGTTTAATAACAACACCATTGATTCCACTAGACCTTTGCAATAAATTTGTTGCGGTTTCATCTCCTCCACAAGGACTAGGATACGGCACATATGTCTTCTTCGAGTAAAGTAAAGATGGTCTAGCCCTGGTCTGCATCGAACTTCGACGATTCTCTGAAGACATAAAAAGTGAAATACGCTCCAAGCGACCATGTCGACCCGACAATTCATGATATTTCATCTGCTCTTGACGTCGATATCGCGGATATTCACTATTCACCACATGATGACTCGCTTCATGATGCGCATGCACCATTGATCGACGTTCTCTACCTGATGAAGTGAACGGAGGAATTTTCCTAAGCGGTCGTGGCCGTTTCGAACCTGAAATTTGAGTCATATTGAAACTTTTACTCTATGGAGGTCGTATAAGTAAGAAAAAAAGATTCTGACTTTATGAGATTTGCAATAAAATAACTTACAACTTTCAAAAAACAACACTTCTTGAATTAAAGAATTAGCGCATCACAAGAAAACAAACCTATTACGACAGTGAAGAGAACATTCAATTACACAATAATCGAATGAGTTTCGTACGAACAGATACATTTACTGCATATTTTTTATTGTGAGACAATACACCGGCTTATGCGACACTTACTCATCTCAGGGATATATTACCTAGCCTCATAAATGCTGCCAGAACAAAGGACGACTTAAATTTCAGAATCGCACAACATCCTTCTTTCCTCTAAGAAAAAGAATTCTTGCCGCTTTTCACACTTTTTCCTGCTCTCCATAAACGAACAAACCATCGGTCGAAACCCGATGACAGTATATTGGGTGACAAAAATTTGTTGGCGTCTCGATAATGCCATTTCCGGTTGGCTTCCAGTATTTTCGTGGTAGACTGGTAAACTTACATTATCCTCATTCTCCACACTTCGAAATCATCAGTTTTCCCTCATCTTCTTTTTGGGATTTAACAAGAAAGTTCCAGTTTCAGATAGAAAATTGGGGCAACTTGGAACATTTCGTCATCCATATATAACACAGGGTGAAAATGAAATCTCATCTACTTCGTAGTATGCATGGCATTTTTTCCTCGCTAAGATTGAAAGACAATAACTGCATCCATCCGATAACTAAACTTTTCCGAAAGGACCAAAAACATTGCAATTTCCAATCTTCCTATTTCGTACATTCTTCATTCACTACTTCCACATTCTTTCTTCAACTCATCCCATAGAAAAAATCGAGGCAAATCGCGACAATCAATCACTAATTCTTTTCTCTTTTTGGAAAGTCATCATTTGAATTCACCGTTACCTTTCGATAGACTCAAATATTATAGACCAGTCTATTTCTCGATAAACACTAACTTTCCGTTAACGTCATTCCTTTTTCATCAATTCTTAGCATTAATAACGCATCTTCTGCATAACGACAACAACCGATTTCTCATTCACCATGAAAATATTTCTTTGAGCCATTAAGAAGTTCACCCTTTGTTCTTTGCATTCTTCATATTCTTCTTTCAGAGCTTATAAACCGTCCCCTCCTTTTACAAGCCGATGTTCTTTTAAGGACAGAAACCTCTATTTTCCTGAGCTGATAATCTATTCTTCAATCTTATTTTTCTTCAGTCTTCACGAATCAATTTTTCCTCAATTTCATCTCCGTCTTCTGGAGCTTTTAAAAACAGTCCCATAACATTATCGTTTGGCCTTACTTGGGGAACGGCTGTACACAATAACTAGAGTAGCATTTTTCGCACTTTCAAAATAACTGAAGAAAAAGTAAGTAGAGTCGTGTCGCTGAAATAATCTAAGGAGCACATATAATCCCGCAATATTTTCCCAATATGATGGCGGAAACAACATAGCTGACGAATACTTGTGGAATACATGGATTTCCAAAGATGCAGCGACCATATACCATCAAGCTTATCTGGAGCCTTGCTGTGGCAAGATGACTCATTGCTGTTACAGTACTGTTGTGAATTCCATTTGTCGGTCATCTTTTCACTCGCATCCCGTGGATCCTGCTGTGAACCATCTTTTGCTTCTTCAGTTGCGCTTGGGTCCAGGCTTGCTGCCAATCGTACAGCTTCCTCATCGACATCGCCGGAAAGATAAGGCCAATCTTCGTCATCACCATATATTTGTAAACCCACTGATGACGTTAGGCTCGCATGGTTGACACTGACCCTATAAATTAACCTCTTATTTCCCTTCCCATAATCAATTGGATGAACATAGTAAACATTAGCATGTAGCACCGAAGATTAATTAATTTAAGGAAATTTCAGACAAAAAAAAAGCGAACGGCGCAACGAAAACCACTCGTCTGTCTTTATGTCTTGCAGCAGTTTAAGCCCAATCAATTCGACTTTCGTTACCTATTCTCTCCCTTTCCTGGCAACTGGTGTACGGTTGAACTTTTTTTTGATTCCGAGCAATCATTATCATCTCCTTCGCCTGAAAATTAAAATCCATTTTCGTGGTATCCTGAAAAGACCAGACAAATAAGCAAAAGTCGGTAAAAGTAGTAACATAAGAAATATAAGTAGATACTTTCAATATTCTTACAGCTATCAACTTCTAAAAGATTTGTGTCGACAGTAAGCTCATCCATATTCTCTATTCTTTCCACTCTACTACATCTTGCACCTCCATGAAAATCGCCCCGTGTCAAATCAGACGTTTTTTCACAACAATAGTATCTAGATGATATTTGTTTGCCATTTGGAAAACGACGTCGCGCAATATTATCATGCTTCCTGTGGCGGTTTACACATAGTTCTGGCATTCTAGGACATCGAGTTCTTTGCTTGATCTCTAACAAATTTTCGCTCTAAAAATACAATAACCGTTTGATTGATACGTAATCAGAACAGTTCAGATTCTCCACAATTCAGTAAAAAATAGATAAAGTAAAGCTACTAATGGAAGTCTCAGATATAATACCAAACGTACAATATAACTAAAGATTTGAAGCTAGCATATTATGATTCGAATAAAAAGGAAGAACCATACCACGTCAGCTTCCACCGATTCTCCTTCTTCATCCAGACAAATTAAATCATCGAAAATCTCTTCCTGTAAATATTGTACTAGCACAGATAACAAACATAATCCAAAAGGGATAGATAACGAGTAGAAAGATTACAAAGTTGCACTGTCCCCTCATAAAGCATTAATTCAAAAAACAAGTAAAAAGTACCATCCTAACGCTGATGCAATTTCGTTGCAGTTCTTAGATAAACTTCTAACACAGTCCACAATACTGTACCACTGCAACAAAATAATTGAGAATGCAAGTAAAAATAACTTTAATTAATTCGAACATCAAATTCTCACGAAACACAAGAAAAAATTAGACAATATTTCCGTCCAAATGCTGCCTGAAGGAACTGACGAGTCCTTCACCTATTACCACTTGGGTAACTGTAAGACTACATGTGCACGCATGCTACGGAAATAGTATCATATATTTAGTGCAGAAGTCCGTACCGCAAATTATCCCTGCCACAAACTAAGGAAAGGAAAGATGTGAACAAAGCAACGTTTTGCGAAATGATGAAGCTTTCAAAATGCTATAGGTGTATGGTCCCAAAGTGACGTCCAGTAGTTCCACAGAATGGTCCGAGATCGTAGAAGTTTTTGTATAAATAAGTAACAAGTGGAAGAAACATTAACTAAACAAGCATTAATTAAAGGGCAATACAGTTGTAGAGCTTAGGAAAGTCCATTAATCAAAGTTTTGCCTGGATAAGCTTCATCTTCTTAACTAGCTTTTTTGCTTTTGAAACAACAAAACAACCACTGAATATGAAATTTCAGTAAAACACGACCTCAAATCTTCCTGCCAGAGGTTCACGATAATTTATCTAGATATAGCAAAGCTCAAAGTACGAAGCTTAGAATGACTATAAGAAGGTGTGAAAGTCTCGCTCTTGTTTCTCTACCTGGCAAATCCCTATAATTTGCTTGCAAAAAATGAAACAAAAATTGTCTGCCTATCTTCCTGCAACCAATCCATTAGAAATCTGACCCACGAGCGGATACGCAGAAACTATACTGGAAATGACCGAACACAGACATGAGCTGATGAAGATCTGCGGACAAACACCAATAACAATTAAATGAGGAACTGCTCCTGCTTAAATCGACCAAGCTTCAAGTACCACACATGCGATTTATACAAACCGACAATTCATACATTTGACACAGAACGTTTCCTGACTTACCCTAATAAAGAAAATTCAAAAAGTAGCTATTGGAATGCGCAGCCCACAGTGATTCATGAATCGGAGATTTTTTGCAATGTAAGGAAGAACGGTAACACTTGCTTTCGAATTGCTAACTTTGAAAGTTCATTTAATTAGGCTTCTTTTTGTTTTCAAACAAGCCCCACAAACTTCTAAGATCGGAAGCAGGTATCGTGAGGTGTGCGAACAAGAAATAGCAAAGCCAAGGTAACATTTCATGGAGATTTCCACTTTGTGACAACCTCTGCTACGGTTAAAACAAAATAAAACATTGGATTTTTACCACAAGAGGTAATATTCCCGATTTAAAACCGAACGGTTCATACCGAAAAAAACGTATTTGCCACAAAATCATTTGCAAACAGAAGCAAAATAAATTACTATAAAAACAACAGGAATAGTCTGAGAACTTGAAAGAATACCTGGCACTTTTTTTTTGTGAAAGACTTAAAAAAATGTCGAAACATTTCATTGCAATCGAAACAGTAATCAGTGAATCTCAACAAATGAGCAAAGAACGTCAGAAGATGTTGTCAAGAGACAAATTGTCGATTTGAAAAGAAATAGTACAGGTTTGCATAATTATAAACGTGATCACACAATATGTGTAATAATAGCAAAACATTAAGAAATTTCAATCAGTAGCTTTGCTCTATACAGTGAAAAGCAAAGAAAGAGAATCATCCAATAAAGAACTATCGAGATCATAAATTCAAACCGGATTACTCAGCTTCGTCCTACATATGCACCCACACCGGACCCAGTGGTGGTGCTTTCATCTTGCTGAAATCTAGACGCTTATCGAGATCTTCATCCAGTTCGCCGATTACTGCTCTGAAAAAAAAAAATGATAAATGGTAAGGAACGAGAATTATGTCAGTACAATCCAGTTCTGGAATCGAGTGCTTCGCACAGCAGGAAATTCTAAGAACGTTGACCCAGTTCCTCCATCATTTCCGGAATAACTACATTTACCAATCGACACTGCTTTCCCACTTCCCACGCAAACACTATTTTTCTAATCGTATAAAATTACTGCCATTTTTTTGCTAGGTTTCAATGAATCATGATGTATGGTCTCAATTAGTACATAATTAGTAGGACTAACTGACACATCCGGTAAGTTGATCGAACACGGCTCTTTACTCCATCTTTTGTAAAAAAAAGATGCAAAACTTCGGTTCTTATAGTGCCAAAAATCAAAAGCGGTTGCTGGTAACCTAGTCGAGGGATATTAGATAAGCGACAAAAACCCAAATAAAGCTTTCCCAGGGATCGCAACATGCATCGCCATCCTTTATAACCATTATTGTTACGATGATATGGAAATATGGATATTGCCACCTACATAGGTTTTTCTTTTTTTCACAAGTAGTTAAAACTAACACATTGTCGCCCCTGACAATATATAAACCGAGTGGAATTTGTTCAACACCCGCATCTTCACTAAAAACGCGCTCATGGGAATCTTCTAGCACCAGGTTGATCGTTTGATCGAAACCTTTCATTAAGCCGACTATATTTCGCCCATCACCAGTAATCACCGAAATCACTTTGTTGATAAACGATTCCAATGTCTGTGTCATACTAAAATTTGATCGAATAAGCGGAATCAAATGAACCATGAAATGACATAACGCACAAGGAAGCGATGAGTTGCATCCTAATCATTATGACAAAAGCCCCACAAACCGGAATTTTATTGCAAATTTTCAAAACCTTTTAGATTGTACGTATATAACTTCCAATCAAACACCAGTAATAAGCATGCCTTTATCATAAAATACCCCTAGATGCAAATTTAAGAACAGGCATTGAAAACGACAACCCCATATCGAGATGAAAGACTGCAACTTTTCCAAAACATTAAGCCAAATTTTGATGCCTTCAGTGCATTCCACTCCATGTTATCGAACAGTTTAACTTTCCGTCCCGCAAGTTATTTTAAATAACCATTATCACTACGATAAAAAAAGCGACCGCAAATACCTGCAATCCTACCGAAAAAGAATCACTTCACTTCCTTTTCAAGTCCTGACTACAGTACTTTGTGGTAATCTTTACAGAACATTGCTGAATAATCCACCTGATCCGCCACAGTCGAACTCAAGAATCAGTACATCTCCTGACAACTTGGAAACATTTTTGTAGGGACAATAACCTTCTCCAAGGCAAACATAAAAAGATCAAATGCACAATTCCACAACTTCCAATTTATCCAACATCAATTTGCTTCATAACTGACAACATTGGCAATCATGTGTCACACTATCAACTTTAGAAACAATGAAAATGTTTCAAATTAACGCGTTAGCACAAGCGACCAAAATGAATTTACGGAGATAAGTGGAAGTAAATCCTGATACAATACAATTGCCACATTGAAAAAAACTACTCAAACGAATGTTTACGCCTCAACAACCCACACAAGTACAAACACACACATACACACACAAGTACAAACACACACATACACACATGCACACACACACACACACACATGCACACATACATACACATACATATACATACACACACACACACCTGACACATACACACCATTGAGATGCACACACATACACAAGTGCATGCCACACCTCGGGGCATGTTAGAACATGGTTGAAGACGTACAATTCTGCTTCGGATAAAATGGAACAAAACTTACGAAACAATGACAAAAAAAAAAGCAATATTGAAAATTAAACAACACGGGGAGTAAGAAGGGAAAGAAAACATCACGTATGGGGAGAACGATGATGCAACTGAGAAGAGAGCAAGGGGAAGATAGCCAGAAAAGTTATTGGTTTGAATTCCAAAAAGGGAAAGGTTGAGAGAGAAGTACTAAAAGCGGCAAGGAGTAGTAATAAAACAGAAGAAAATAAGGCGTAATCAAGATGTTTCACATCATAATAGGAAATCAAGGTATTGTTGTTTTTTTGTTAACAAATCTCTGGATCTGAGTTAAAAAATAAAACAATGAAACAAGGACCTGATGCGTAAATCAATTCAGTATACTGATACGACACTCTAATTGAAATTATGAGACATTTCTACTATCTCTATCGAAATCCCAGTCTTTCTTATCAGAAAGAAAAAACACCGCATATTAAACCATGGAGCTGCAAGAACGCTCAAAGCAAAACAAAAAGCATCAAGCACCTTGAGTATGTGAACAAGAGAGAAACTGCGCACCGGCCTTCAAGCCATTCTCAAATTTAAAACTCATACACATTCAGTCCATTAATAAACTGTAGTATTAATGGAAGGAAAAGCTGGATGAGTTTTAATTAAATCAAGTGTTTCATAGGAATTGGAACGGTCCATTTTTCTCGGGGATACAAAACTAAACCGAATACACCAACAGTTCTGTTTCATAGTAAAGAAGAAAGAAAAAAAGATGGAATAAGAAATGACAGACGGAGAGAGAGGAGGTAAAGGAAAGAGAAGGGAAATACCTGCAGCAATGCAGAAATGGAAATTATGCACCACAAAGGCATGGTTAGCGATTTCTTGCGGCTACTGGTCTCATATATTACCAAACTAAATGGCGGTCCTTAAATTTGGGAATTTAAAATTTCACTATTTTTGAAATCTAACTTTCGACAGTGGGGCAATACCTTTCTCATAGTTTTCACATTTATGTCATTCCAAAAAAAAAAGGAGGTAAAACAAGTTCAAAAAAAATACAAAGCAACTAAATTGCAAAATTTGGTCGGATAAAATATAAAACGAAAGGTAAACTGAAAAAAAAGAGAGCATATACCTTATTTTTTTACGGAATAAATATTCCATAAGGTATATAAAAGGACGAAACCGAAATGTTAAGAGACCAGCTAACTGCTCAAAAAAATAAACTGATTGATAAATAGAGATGTTGCGAATTGTTGAAGGCATCGTTGGCTGGGTATGCATTTAATCATAGCGTAGAACGACTCAAATTTCTAAGAGATAAGACGCAGAAATTCATAACGATACAGTACAGCTTAGTACAACGTATAAATCAGTCGTACATTAATGCTTAGCAGTGTTAAGAAGAATTTCAGAGGTAATATGAGAGACTTGAAGCTTTTTGAAACAAACTCAAACAGACTGCATCATTTACTTTCTGTTCTAACATCTAGCTAGTGCAGAAGGAATACTATAAACCACCAAATAGACCTTAAATTTTTGTAATAGGAAATGGACACCATACCTTTTTAAATCCTATATTAAGGCATAGCTAAATGCTTATTAAAAAGGAAAAGGAAAACCACCGTCTTAAGGAATAGGGGTTTACTGATTTCAAAAGGTTAAACGACTTCAATATGTGGGTCAACACCAACCACTTTAAGAACGCTTACAAAATGAAGCATACAAACAAATATGAACTCAGCCAAGACTACACAACAGGATTCTGAACGTATACTCGAAAAAAAAAAGTTCATAACACCTACTGGTGAAATGGCTGAGATCATCGTTTCAATGTAATGTGTATGAATGCAAATATATGGAAGACCCACAACGTCAAACAAAATTGGTTTGATGAAACGATAAAATTACTGGTACGTTTGTTATTCTGAAAATTGCAGAAAAACAGAATATTTGAGACAGACTGACTGAATTATTGTGGGAAAATTCGACAAATTCGATTTCAAAAATGCTATAGATTCATGAATGAATGAATATGCCACAAATTCAAGGTGAAGCATTATGCGACATATCGTACTCAAAACCATACTCCAGGATGATAGCAACATTAAAAAATTAAAAAACTAGCATATAGTGAGAGCATTACAACTGCTACAACCACAAATTAGCTTACTGAAGCAAAAACTAATAATTCTGTGATATACATTTCTTCCAATTTCTTAAAAAACCAATGAAAGATGGTACCGTTATGAGGGATATTTTAGAGATAGTTAACTTTTATAATGCGAAGAACTGTTGATTAGTGCTCAATGTCCAAGTTACAGAATTTCTTTATCAACGATAGATCAAAGATATGAATTTGGGAAATCGACAAAAAGAAAGAAGACCATTACGAAAATACAAAACTCTCGCCGCTTTAGTGGAATACTCAGTATTGTTGTTGCTGTGGATAGCGCTGCTGACTTGCTCCACGCTGGGTCATTCCTTGGGAATAAGCATCATAACCGCCAGCGCCTAAAATCATTGCAGGCTAAGATAATTAAAAATTATACTGATTGTGTAGCACGTTACCAAGTTTTTCCAAAATCACAAGAGAAGGAAAATCAGAAAGGAAATATGGATGAAAATAAAAATTTTAATACAACGTTTCATGTTGCTCCACCCGAATTAAAATGAAAATATAACTCTACCATAGTAGCCACCGGCCTGTCCCTGTTGGTAATATCCAGCAGCAGCAGCATTACCATACCAGTCACCCCAGCCACCAGCAGTTCCAGTACCTCCGCCATATGCACCGAACGCTCCCATCTGACCCCATCCAGCTTGTCCAAACCAACCATTCATGACACCCGCCCGACCAGCTCCATATCCAGCCCGCATTGCCGCGCCACCTCGACCACCCGGGAAACGTTTGCCTTGAGGAACGGCCTTTTTGACGTCGCACTGCAAATGAATATAAGAGCACTTGCGCAAAAACTTATAAATTGGTGAAGCGGACAAAAATAAATAGTAGGAACAATACAAAACATTACACATATAATATTAAGTAACCTCGCGTGACCCAAACATTTGCTTTGGTGTAGCCGACGCTCGCTCAGCTGCTTCCTCTTCTTCAAACACAATAAATGCGAAATTTCTTCGAGCTTTTGTTTGCTTATCGAAAGGCCATTCAATATCTTCTACTTTTCCATATTGTTCGAAGTGGGCACGTAGTTCTTCTTCTGTAACAAATGCCAATTATAACATGGGAGGTTCACATCACCCCCGCTTGATACATGCGCTTCATTCCACTCACTGATGTGACGAAGTGAATGATCCAGATTGAGATTTGAAAATCCAATGCTCCATAAAATTCCATTACCTACCAAACACAGTATACGGGGACGAAATAAAGCAATATGAAGCAGTCCGCTTACAAATTTGGAAATCAGCAGTATAACTGTGTCAGAAAACCACAAACGAAATTATTCTTGATGAAATATTTGATGATATATATAAACCTGGATGGTCAGCAGGCAAACCACCAACAAACACTTTCTTATTCTCTCTTGATTTTGCTGGCTTAACTTCAACGGTTTTCCCCTTGAGCGATTGTTCTCTTGCGTTGAGTGCAGCTCTACACGCCTCACCGGTTGTGAATTCTACAAATGCAAAGCCGCGAGAACGACCCGTATTCCGATCATACTTCACCTGAGCCTGTGCTACTTCACCATACTGCGAGAAATATTGCGATAAGTCTTCATTTGTAACATCGTAGGCTATTCCACCAACGAATATTTTCCTATAAGCGACAAATCAACAAAGATGTTTCCCTACCACAATCTTGCATTTATCAGTAGAAAAAATGAAGGGAAACGCAACAAGTACATACTTGTCTTCGTTGCCTTTGCCCAGATCTTTCAAACCTCCTTCGCTAACAGTACCACCATTAACAGTTTCTGAATTCTGAGTTTGTTCTTCCTGATGGCTATCCTGAGTATCCATAAGATTCTATAAAGATAACGTAAATTCGCCATATTACCTTTTCAAAACCATTTACTTTTTCACAAAAAGAATATCACTCCTTTATTGCCATATATAGTCAATTGGCTCTGTTAGAGTCAATAATAACCAACAAGACAGGTTTCCTGGACAAGCAAATTCAAACAACTTTGAATCAAATGAAAAAAAGTATAGATATTAGCTGAAAATAACTGACCTGTTTACAGAAGTTATCCAATTACCAAAACTTGAATACAGGATAAGGAATTTAGATAAAGAAAGAAGCCTTATATAAATCAAAATTTACGAAAGCTTAGTCGTTACGGACTATCTAGAAAATACCCTGAAAAGTTTGACATTTTCAAACAAAATGGGCTGCAACTGTGGAAAAAAAAACATTCGAAAAACGCAATAAACGCAAAAGCACTGCAAAAAAAAAACCACGTTGTAGACATCAACAACATATCACTAGGTGTCTACAGCCAAAAGTCACATGCAATTATATTAAGCATCAGATCAAAGCAAATGAAGAAATCTCAAACTAGTCTTAAAGCTCATTGTCTTCATGGACATACATTTAATCAACCCTCTATATTATACAAGGCCAGAGAGAAAAAAAAAGAAACCTCAATCCAATTTGAAAACTCAAAATCCTAATGTCGAACAGACAGAAAAAGAAATCCTAAGAATCACCGCCCTCAAGTCGGTCGACGCGCCTATGTAACAGACTTCACACACTATATGGTGCCATAGAAAGTACAATCACTGCCTGTCTCTTCGGTCGCAAGCAATGGAGATTCGCAATGAACATATCTTCAACAGATGGGAAAAACAACAACATTCAGAGCTGTGAACTAGAAAAATGCAATTAAAATAAAAAAGAGAGAACTTGAGGAACGCAAGATCAACCGATAAAAAATGATAGATCCAGGCACAACTACTCAAGAAAGTGTATTTGCAGACAACAAAGAATACACCGTAAGCACCCTCTGATTTCCAACAGAGTAATCCAAATGGAATGCACAGAATCAAGTCCCCTAAATAACAAACAGTGTGAAGTACAAAAAGACAACTGAAAGATAAACTCCAGATACCCATTTCGACTCATAACTAGCAAAATAACTATCCTCTGTTACCCCAGTTGCCCTCATTATCTGACCAACTTCATGCTTCGTCTTCATTTTGACGTGAAACCGTTATTTTAAGAAAAAAGAAAAATAAATAAAGATAATAGATAATGGATAGTGATCACGTTTCGATGAGTCAGTGGGATAATCTCAGAACATCAGTCCTTAACTCATGTTACCAGCAATATATATCATCGAGTGAGCCACGCATATACTCCTACAAGCGTAAGGAACAAAGACCTATAGGACATCGAAAGTCACATCTATCGGCAGTTAAATAAAATTAAGTCCAACGGACAATATGTATGGAATCTGATAAAATGAAAAGATCATAAAATGTCGCAAGTCACGTCTGTACGTACATAATCAAATGTAACAAAAACCGAAGAAGCAATTTTATTACATCACAAAACTGGTACCAAATAAACTGTTCTATCATAGCGCTTGGTACGTATTCTTATGACATATTTGCATGGAAACGATACCAATGATTATTGAAGCTATGAGCGCGAAATCGATTACACATCTACTCATCAAATCACTTCACCTTCTAGACAGATACTTTTCACAGATTTATAGATACTACAGGTATCCTAACTGTCCACATTACGACAATCAGGAAGGGAGAGTATCGCCTTATCGGGATCATCATATTATTTGTCAGTACGTCTACATCTTTATGCAATAACAAAATCAATACCATCATCAACCTCCTCTCAGAACCACAAACACGACCACGCAACAACCCAAAACCAGACCGCACCTACAACCCTACAACACAACCAAAACCATACGCAACGCACCGCATACGCGTAAGTGTTCATCACCGTGTCCCAGGGTCCTCCATATGGGAACCCAAAAAACCGTTTGCAGCTCACCAACATTCAATTTATCCCCTCCCCACCGCCGTCGAACTTCAATGAGACACTCAGTAGTTATTACCTATTGCTACTGGAGGACGTAAACGGCAGGTGTGGTGACGTCACCAGCTTATATCAGGCAAAGTCTAGTCCGAACGAAAACTTGGCAAAACTCCAACAGGATCAATTATACGTAGCTATTGCCATGTCGTTCACGACAACAAGAACGGATAGCAATCTACTGTAGTGGTCCGCTACTCCTACATTCTGATCGTTGAACAGCAAGTATCGCACTAAGCACCGTTGCACTTGACGTTATAGATGATATATATATGTATACATAATACATACATACATACATACATATATATATACGTACATACATACATGCATACATACATACACACGTACATACGTACATACACACATACATACGTATGTACATATATACATGCATACATAGATACGTACATACATATGGATATATATATATACATACATACATGCACAGACGTACACACATACATGTACATACACATGCAGATACGCAAACATATACATAGAGACAAACATGTACATAGATACACATGTGTGTACACATACACACATACAGATACACACCTGCCCCGTCCACGCATCCATTACGTTCACTTATGTACAACTAAACATAAATCATTATGATAAGACGGGTTTGGTGGTCTTTTTTTGATGTTGGTACTGTAATTATGTGGAAGAGGTGTAGAAAATACTCATTGCGAGTTGATTTCAGATGCAATTCGGAAATGACAGAAGTCATGTTAATGTCTGATACAGTTCGAGAAATCGTACTGAATGACTGACGTTCGACAAGGGGAATCATCACCAAATAGCTGGCGTATAAGGTAATGCGGGGAGCTCTTTCTCGCAATATTTACAATAGGTAGTAAGCTGGAAGAGATCACTAGAGAGACATGATCTATACTGAAACGGTCACCTGGTCTCGTGGTACTCTCGAGGGTAATTCATAAACCGGAATACTTCGATCCCATTGTCCAATTTATTATCAGCAAAACTGTGAACTTTGGATGAGTTATACTGTTTATAATACGAGTAGACTGGATCATCCAACGCTAACATACTCTCAGTATATGGTTTGAAGAGTCTAATAGTAAAAATCAGAGTAAAGCAGTAGCATTTCAATATAAGTAGTCGTAAACGGTTTTCGCAAAGTCGGTGACACGATTCGCCGACCGAAGATTTGCTGGTCATTCAGTACGACGCGTTTCCGAAACAAACCAGAGATGACGTTAAGAACTATAACGTGTTAAACGGGACTTTATGACAACATATAACTTCCATCTTGACATATTCAAGCCCACTTTGTCACTGCGTGACGATTTTCATGCTCAAATTATTGTAAAGTATTTGAACAAACGAAAAGTGATTCCATTTCGAAATCTAGGACTCCCGCAGGAAGGGTGATCATTTGGTCAAAGTATTTTTGATATGCTGGGAATGATTGCTCCACAAATGGTAGTAATATGCTGATAGAATCTAGTAAAAGTGTTCATTAATGGAAATACGGATCTCGGTGGATTCGAACAGAAACTTATTGATAACAACGAATACAGTTCTTCTATCATGTCTTTATCCTACTTATGACATGTTGCACTTTAATCAAAACGATTCATCACAAAACGTTTCATCCATTTCATCATCCCAGCTATGGTAATGGTATGGTACGGGATTGATAAACATTCGTTCGTCGTACACAACATCTTCTAGAAATAATCCTTGGGGTGGAGCTGCCACCATTCCGAAATGATGAAAATTTTCAGGATTTGGGTTGTTTAGCAACCATACCAAACGTTCCCGCTGCAGACGTCCGTAAGCATGCTCGACAATGCTGCGTACCATATGTCTTATCTGAATGTAATATCGACACCTCACTACCATTTAAAACAAAATATAGGAAAGAGATTGATAGTTTACTATTTACCATTCTCCCAGTTTGTCTAGGCTGGGACACTTTTAGTCGTATGCATAGGTTCGCAATTTTTCAATTAATGAAGTTTGCTGTCCCGTCCACTTTATCAAGTTCCTTGCTTTAGTCTAGACCCCTATTTGACAGAACACATACACATACATAAATGCTTCATGTTGAACTCTTTATAATCATTCCTCTTCCGACAATCACGAACCGCAAATTCAATCGTTGTGGCACAAGAGAAAAAAAAAAATCATTTGATGGCAAAAAATGTAAAGATATAACTTACTTGTGATCGCAAAAAAGATCTTGAAATAACATTAATATCGATTACACTAAAACCGTTAACATTCCCAAATCGACTTCCACCTGCAAAACTCAATTCTTTTGATTTAATCCAGTTATCCTGATTGCAGGGAATATTTGATCCAATATTAAACCGACATGTTGTTAGCGAGTGATGCGAACAGCTAATCTCGAAATGTTTTGGAAGCATAGCAAGAATTCGCTACGTATTGCACCAAGTATAACTTTTTAGAATGTACATATTGTTGAGAACTTAGTGTTGGAGCCATAGTTATTGCCTGTATGATGACTGACTGCAACACATACTGTATTGCAGAATTGATCGCAACAATCTTTTAATGAATAAAGAAACTAGTGAAGTATATAAAAAAAACATAAGTTACACTTACCTCCAGAAATGCCAACGTGTAGCAAATGTCTCATCGTTGGAGTGCGACTATCAGTCCTTAAGCGGTCACGTAGCGGATATTTCATGAACGAGGCCATGTTGTGGGTACCATGAAAAAAAACCCGTACTTTGAGTTTTATATAGAAAGCGTGGAATTGCACTGTTATGAATACCATGGAGTTTACAATTTAAAAATGATGAAGATGAAAGGTAGGTCAAAAGTTTACTTGGAATAAGGAACATGCGTCTGCAGCCTTTCGAATGTCAAAACCATTTGGTAAGAACCAAATATACGGCCTTTCGGCAAATTGCCACAACAGCGGTTGTTCTGCATTTTTCAACCATTCTTCCTCGTTTTCTGCTATGGCTAACCGATATTTATATTTTCTGCAAAACTTTGGAAAAGGAAAAGAAAAAAAGTGGTCGTCAGTAATGGTTACACCATGACGTTCAGAAATTCATAACACACTAATATATTTATCACTTGAACTTAGAAGTCAGGGTAAATAAATTATACAAAATTTCTTTTCACTGAGTTTTTATTCCTTATCTTTTATCGAATTTCATTAGGTGAAACAGGAAACTGATATACCTGTATGAAACATTTCTCCTGGAACAGAAACCTTTCGAAACGGCATGAAAATCTAGAACACGTAACGATGTACCAATACATTCCTTAGTTTTGTGATTCCAATCATCTAGTAGGTTACTCTTGTCTTCATCTACATTTCCGATGGGAATTTGCATGATAAAAGCGTTTCGTATTGCATGTACTCCCGCATCAGTTCTGAATTGATTATGTCCGGAATGAATCACGTGGTGAAAAAAAAGACAAAAACAAAATCTCAGAATCCTCCAACACTTCAGAGATTACTGAACTATATTTGAAATACTTTGTAAACAGCTGAATTTGTGTGAAACATTGATAAGCGACAAACCTGCTTGAAGGCGACATTTTAAACTGCTTTCCAATATCTGGAAAAGTCCCTCGCACAAGTGCTTTCAGAAAACTAAGCACACTATGATTGATACTTCCATTAGCAACGGCCATAAACCGAGCACCATCATAGGATGCCCATAGTAAATACCGATATACCTCATTTCTGAACATCCTCCCGAGTCTTTTAACAACCCCTAAGAACTGAAGCCAAAATGAAGCAAGGTCCCGATAAACAACACATCCAACTTGATAAATGAGAACCCGAAAATATCTTAAAACATTACTGCGCAAAGATGGCAAGGTGCATTTTCAGCATTATAACCATTTCAAGATCGTTGTATTCCACTCCCTGCAGTGGTTATTAATGATTTATCCTAATTAGTTTTCACCGGGCAATGACAGCAACATGTACTTCAACTCTCTTATGCTATATTAAATCGCTAATTCTACTAAATAATACCATTTCAAATGATATTATGATTGATTTTTGTCAAATAAAATATATGGTAATCTGACGCGGAATGCAGTTTAATGCAAATGTGAACAACATACAAATATAACAAAACAAACAGCAACACATTACCCAATATTACTCATAAATTTGATAAATACTGGAGGTAAACCAATTCAAATAAGAATAAAGACCTCAGTCACTGTAAAGAGTGAAAGGTAGAAGAGGATAACAGTGCAATAAGTCTATATTCAGTGGAACCGAAGTCATTGAGAACCCTGAGAACGCTAAGTATGCTGAGAACTAGGAGAATGATAAAACAAAATAAATAAACGAAAACAGTTTACCATAAGGTACTGCTTTTACCGATACGTTATTTCACAATTCATCTCAGGAAAATTATAAGACTAAGAATTATTAAAAAGCAAATCACAACTCTTGCCAAATCCGTCCTATAAAAAAAAGTGGAGAAAAAAATTCAACAAATTTACTGCAGCAATAGAATCGGTTATTCAGCAGACTTCCTCATACTTCAATAAAGTCGTTTATCGTAACTGAAAACAACTATTGATTCCTTCAATTGTCTTTTCCGTGTTCCAAGATTGTTATGAACAGATCTTATGCATAATTTTTCTCTAAAGTATGATGTTCCCATAGAAATAAAGTCCTGTTCCTAACAGTACAATTTGTTGAGAAAAAATTTAATAAGCTTACGAGTGCAAGGAATGCACTCCTCCCTCAACTTGAGCATTCGATGACCGACGCTCAAATCTGATTTCACCACGAACAATACCATTCCTGGAATAGCACTATTTTACTTTTCGCAATCATCCAACAGCATCCCATACCATATGAAACAAACTACACGGATGCAAAGAGATATTAAACGAACCTGAGTTCATCCATATTTTTAACACCGATATCTTGAAAACCATGCTGAATTCCTCGTACTAAATATGGAACGAATTTATGAATGCTACCTCTATCTCTCATTGTAGCAGACACTCCCTGAGCAACTTTTATCGAATCCGACCTGCTAAAAATAAACTCGTTTTGATACGAATATATTGTAAATAACATTTCTAACGTGGAATGGATTTAATTACATGAATTCTGCATCAAAAAAAAAAAACTTCGACGTACCTTTTTCAAATGCCATTCAGAGTAGAGAAGCAAGCTACAACATTTCTGAAAAAAGAAATTACCTGCTAAAATACCTATCTTGACTACTGACATTTGCTTCCATAGCATCCACTGAACCCATCCCACGATAATTCTTAAGACGTACACCGCTTGGACCCCAGAAATATTCTCCGGGTGCTTCTGTTGTACCAGCTAAAAGACCACCCATCATCACTGTCGATGCGCCAAGTGCCAAAGCCTGAACTTCTCAAATTACAAAAGTTAAGCTAAAGAACTAAGATCTACAAATCCATCATAATATTACTTTCGTGATATAGCCAACATCTCTTATTCCGCCATCAGCAATTACGGGAATCCCACGAGTCCTGGCGTACCTTGCAACTTGATAAACTGCTGTGCCTTGTGCTCTTCCAACTGCAGTAACTGAAACACAAAGAGATGTGAAAATATTGCTGTTCATTTTATTTAAACACACACCAGCACAAAATGAAAGTTAAGGTACCCTAAGACGATGATGGTATTTTTCTCTGGGATGCATATACAGTAGCAAAGATTATATGTTTACGAAGTTAAATAGGGAATGTACATACCTTCCTGAGTAATACAAATTGAACCGCTGCCCATACCAATACGAATGGCATCCGCCCCAGCATTAATCAGGATTTCTGCTTGCTTTTGTGTTACAACTGAAAATAAGGAAATGTTTAGAAAAAATATATCAGTCCAATGAATGCATATCACCAATACTAGACATTCATTCACACTTGAATAAAAGCAACACTGCATTATAATGCTTTAAAATATTCATCTGCCAAATATATACTTTGCGTAGAACACGTACAATATGTTACACTATACTAACATGGGCTAAGAGACTATATCTAATCAGTGATCAGAAGACGACAGAAGGTTGTTTTGTTCAAAAATTAAGTGCCGAATAGGTTTGCCAGGTATACGGTATAAAGCCTCAGTGATATAGGAAAAATATCAACTCCTTCAATCCGGCAATTTAGAAACTATTCTAGAAAGAAAGAAAAAGATAAGACTAAAAAAGAATATAACGTAACTTGCCATTGCCCGCAATTATCTGTGGCGTTTCTGGATAAGTACTCTTTATCCATTTCAAAAGATTCACTTGATACATGCTGGCACCTTGTGAAGAGTCCTACAAATATAGAGACATTCGCAGAGTAATGCACAGTTTCGTAAAGAGTGCAAGAGTTCAGCGTTCGAGACAATCGGACTTTTCGCGGACAACTTGTAATATATGTTTATATATATATATGTATATATATATATATATATAATATACATATATGTGTATATGTATATATATAAACACATATGTTTTCCTACTTGTTCTATCTTTAATAAAGCAAAGAATAATGAACTATTCATAATTCTAAATTTCATCGAGAAAAAAAAGTTAAAACACGAATTAAATAATCATAAGGAACTACTATTCATAGGAAAACTTCTTAACATCATATTTTTTTTCCTGTTTTCTTCCACCGATAACTTGACTCTTTTACATTCTGATATCTCTTAAGAGGATATAAATGATAGATATTATGGAAAAATAATCGGCCACTCTCATAGAGTCATTCCAAATTGGGAATGAACTTCCTGAGCCAATTCTTACAGTCCAATAGTAAAAATAAAAATAGTGAAAATAAAAAACAATAGTAAAAATAATAGTAAAAATAAGCCCGCTCTATGGAATAAATTGTAAGTGGACAAATAAATAGGTAATATAATATTAGAAAACTGTTTTCTCAAATATAGGTAAAACATCTAGTATGTTATCCTGTTGTGTCATTTCTACACTTACTCATGCAGTTACAAATACCGCCCTGAACATGACTCCCAATAATTCTATTAATGAGACTGCTCTCGTGATTCTCATGGGGAAGGAATATGGAAGGGAAGATGACGAGCGAGGTCAAGATAAAATTTATCACTTACAATGACAAGAACATCAGCACCAGCCGCAACTAACTTCTTCACCGCTTCTTTTGCAGATTCTCGGGTATTTATAGCTGCACCTACTCTCAACTGTCCCTTCGAATCATATGAACTCCATGGAAAATCTCGAGCCTTCTTTAGATCAGTACGAGCTATTAAGGATACTAATTCTTTTTTGCTGTTAACAATGGGTAATTTTCCTGCAAAGATGTCCAATAAATGGAATCACACAAATTAGCAACACGTAACGATGTCAGATCATAAAACCTAAATCCTACTTTGCTCATTATCTAAGAAAATGGTTATTCCAAAGAAATTGTTATCAGACATTTAATAGAGACATCGCTTTAATCAAAGGCGACGAATAATCACTTACCTTTCTTCTCATTTTCTAGGATTTTGTAGGCATGTTCCAAAGTAAGATCTTCACTACCCGTTATAAGCCGGTCGAATGGAACCATTACATCACTTATTTTCGTGGTCGAATATCTGTCTTCATCAATAAAGTCTACATCACGCGAAGTTACCAGACCTACAATTCAAATAAGATTTAAAGTGAACAACAAGCACATAATACTTGAAGCGCAGCATAAATTTTTAATAGAATCAAATCTAAATTTTAAAAACCCAACTATTTTAAAAAACCAGAAAAAGCAGTTCCTAGTCATTGGTAAATTTTTTTCACCTGATTCGTTCTTATAAATGATCAAATGAGCCAGATGATGGAAAATCTTTTAACGCAAAGGCATACCTAGCAATTGGCCACCAACGTGTCCTGTTGATGTAACTGGTGTTCCCGTAAAACCGTATTTCAGCTTTATCCTCATCAAATCTAACACTGTATCAGTCTCTTTGATACAGTGAGGGTGTGTTATAAACCCCTGCTTATAACGCTGGAAAATTTTAATTAAACAGTAAGAATCTATATTTCCACAGCTTTTATCTTCCTCTTGCTATAGAAACAATTACACAAGCAGGACGAACAAGCACTTCCTCACTCTCTCGTCCCATCAACACCTGTACATGGATATCTCTTAACGATTTCTCTAAATTATTGAAACATTTCATTTAATAATCGCATTTTATGGACAGTAGGGTAACATTGGCAGTTCGACTAAAATCCTAGAAAATCAAAAAAGGCATATTGATGAAGTAAGAAAGTTGGATGAGCAAAACTTCACCTTTACTTTGATAACTTCTTCAACCTGTCCTTCTAAAGAGGGAAAATTGGAGTGAATTATACCAATACCACCATGTAACTGAAAAAAGATCGTTAATACTGCCTTAACAATTCGAAATTTGCAGGGATAGATCTTGTCAATTTTAATCACATCTAAACATCGCTACCTGATTGACTAATGCATGTCATTTACGTTAATTCCTTGATACCATTCCTTAATGCATTTATAAACAATTCAATTGCCTCGAACACAGCTATTTACATTATGAGATTTGGCTATTTACATTATAAGATTTGCATATCATACCAACGTCCTGCTAAAGCTAAGATCTCTTTGTGCCATATTTATATACTAATTATTATTACTAATCAAATGAATCTATCAAGATAGCTTAATCGGCAAATAATTTACAGGAGACATTTTAGGCGTTAGTGTTCTTTCAAAAGAACGACAAAGGAACTGTTATTCAAGGTACAAGTGAGTCAGCATGACTGACATACATATAATTTACGTTATAATGAATTAGCGTATATCAATTGTCAATAATCTATAATTTACGCTACAATGAATTAGCGTATATCAGTTGTCAATAATCGGAATAGTATCTAACCGCCATAGCGATCGCCATCTCGCATTCAGTTACCGTATCCATCGGTGATGACACCAATGGTGTTTTAAGCGTAATATCTCGTGTTAAATGTGTTGTTAAATCAACGGAAGAAACGTCAAAACTGATGTAACCCGGTAATATATTGAAATCACTGAAACAACTATGCTATAAGCAGATATATTTCATTCCAAAATGTTTACATTCACCTGATCATTTAATAATTTGCCTTACATTCATTCCCCTTATTAAAATTTAGTTACAACAGGAATTGAATTATTCTGAAAAGAAAGGAAAGGAATAACAGTACTTGTATGTCAATCCAACGTGACTGTTCATAAGTTCGTCAATTGTCTGCCCATCCTCATTAATTTTGACAACACCGTCACCATCCATCTTCATACCTTGCTATAGATTGCCAAAATTCTTGAAAATAAGCTTCACATTTTCTAGGAGAAAACATATGCTATTATACACGCAACACCGACCTTGAGAATGTGATGATTTATTCTTAAACCTGAGAAAAAAGATGACAATTAACAGTATAAGGAATAGTAAAAAGGTATTTGGACTGCTACATCATCAATCACGGTGTATACACCGCTGTTCAAGAAAACTGGAAAGAGGAATTCCAGCAAGAATCGATGGAGTGCTGGAATCAGTATTACTTCACATATCTAGTAATATTAGTATAAAGAGATCACATGAAAGTTCTTCATGTCATACGTCTAATCACAAAGAATGGTTATACGGAAGGGAGAGATTTCCAGAACGACACTGCGCTAACCAATGTTCAGACCAAAAACTGCAGATCCATTAAATACGTCTCGCCAGTTTGCTCAGTTGGATCCCGCCAATGCGCCTGATGGGAATACCGGAATCCTGTACTGATGCCTTTCTTGATTTTAGGACTAACCTCCGTTCACGCATAAGGTTACATGATGACCCTATTTCGTTACGCGGTTGCGGTTCGAGTTTCTTTTTGTTCCATGGAACTAAGAGGTCTTATCGTTTTTGCGGAGTTAGTTAGCGGAAGGTAACATTTCTCTCAGAATCATATGGAAGTTACTTATAAGTTCCAACAAAAACTTCAGTTTTATGTCGGGTGGAGGTCATTAGTATATTAGTTTATTCAGCTTGTTGAACTAAATTATTGGGCCATATGTGCGCGAATTCCATCGCTATTTGGGAATAATCAAGACGTTCTATTAAGCGAATATAAAGCTTTAGTGAAAAATCTAATTCACAGCATGAGCTTGTAGCTAATTGAGATGGATGGATATAACAGCGCCTATTATATTAAATAAGTCTTAAATAATATCGCTTGAATGAGTTATTATTAGCTAACGAAATATTTTTCATGTTCAAATTGGGGTTCAGTATAATGCACATAGGTTTGCAACGAGTCGTAGTACTTAATAAAGCCATAGCGGATTTTTGAGCGGAACATGCGGTACAGCGTGTCTTATTTTTATCTCAAAAAAAAAAATTAAATATAACATTGCTCCGAGTTTAAAGAAGTTAACAATGACGCAAGATCCTTGCAGCAGTTGCATTTCACATTGACATTGTCACCCATCACTTTTCTTTGCATATGTTTCCATGGCAACTTTAGAAAAATCAAATACACCTTTGTAGCAAACATTCTTACCTTGCAGTTTCCATGGAACACTAAATTTCCATGGGAAACTATAAGGACGCGTTCAAAGACATGGTGAGTGACGTCTTCCTGGTCGAAAATCGGTTAAAGAGAGCTACTTATCTAGACTCCAATATTAACTATCTAATTGGTGATAATAATCGAGTCATGCAAAATAAATATGTCACGAGGAACTTAAAGTAACTTGTTCGTTTCCGTTAGTACTTTTTCTGTCCCATAAAACCCCTCCAAATATTATCCCGGTCCAGTGATCAACCTGAATATTCTTCTAGTAACAGAGAGTTGAAACAATCAAAACTAATCCTTGAGCAAATAGCAGCGCTCTTCTTTAATTTGTTAAAATACTGCTCCCAAAAACAGTTTCATACAAAACTCCGTTGTTTCCTTTGAAATCAACAAAATTATGTAAAAAATTAAAACCACCCTGTTGGTAATAGATTAAAATTTTCGAAACGGGTGATCAATAAATCAAATACACCAGAATTGAACACACATTCCGCCCCACTATGTCAGTTGCAGCGTACGAAAGTAACCCACTAGCTACTTAAAATTGCAAACATTTGAATCCGCAGGATTTATCAGCAAAAGTCATTCTGACACAACAAACAAGTATACATTCGCGCTTAGACTCATTCTGACACAACAAAATCTCTCTTTTGGAAAGTATCACGGGATGTCCACAAGTACACAAATGCAGTACCACAGCAGGACTCAGCACAGGAGCTACACTGTATAAAACCATTCTAAACTATGACCTGAAGTTTCTCTGAATAGCTATCATGTTATCATATGCAATTCATCATTTATAATCACTGAAACGTATCATTTTACATCACAGAAAACATTTAGATACTAAAATATGCAAATGAAGCCGAAATGGATGTTGAGACAACCAAATTAGAATTAATTAGAATAATTCAAATATATAAACATATCACTAAAAACAACTCCCAACTTATCCAAAACAACTCCCAGATCCATCGTTTTAGAAGACGGACTGCAGTTTAAAGAATCCGAAAACGGGCATCAATTAATGAAATTTTCTCTGACCAAGAATTTTGAACAGAGACGCTTTCAACTATAAAATTACCTAATATTCAGAAAACGCAAAAAAAAAGGAAAGGAAGTTTTAAGCGGGATTTACAAGCGTGAAGTGCAGTCAGAAGAGAAAAACAATAAAACATAAGGAGATAGGTTCTCATTGCATACATTTCTTTAATTTGGCTAACGAATTAAACAATAAATTACCAAGAAAACGAATAAAGCAAATAAGACAAGATAACATGTCAAATGTTTGCCACCAGCTTTAGCAACTCGATTCAATTTTCGCATCGTTGAACCCAGCAAACCTCTCGATGCATCGAAATCTGTTTCCATTTCATTTAACAAGCGATTCTGTTCCCGTACATCATCACCAATTGCTATTGTTATTTTCTTCAGTGCGGCCACTTTCCCGGATAACTTCTCAACCAGCGCATCATTACGACGCTCCATAAATGTTCCATCGCTATTTTCACCCATCACATTTACACCATTACTGCCTCCCCGATATGTCATAATAGTATATCATCAAATAAGTGAATCTTTTTAAAATACAAAAATCTGAAAATGCACAAAACTATCTCGACAAAAAACGAACAAACAAAAAAAATGTCCATTGTCAATGTTTCCGACAGACTCTGTCATATCATCCTAACGATTTTACTCTATAAGAAAAATCCCAAATTTAAAACATCAAAGTAGTAATGGGAAAACACATACCTGTTAAGGAATAACTGTGTAAATTGCAAATTAAAACTGGGAACTTATAAACTGTTGCATTTCAAAGAATATGAAATATCCTGCAATAGATCACTGTGAAAGTTTCCGATCAAACACTGAACTTATATTTCACTGTAAATGGAAATTTTGCAAGAACCATACATGGAGCCGCGTATGCAGGCAAAAGAAGAATAAATAATTATTCAACGCTTAGCAGAATTTATGCTCTTACAATTGACCATATATAGCAACAAAAAAGAAAATAATAGAAAACTTCAAGTTCACCTCAACAATAAACTTCCAACGTTAAATTTACACGTAATAAAGAAAAAAATCCTCTGAATCCTAAGTTATCAAATTATCATACGATCTATGATTAACACTGTATTTGTCTTCATTATTTCCGAAATTGCACTAGAGAACATCCCGAGCTAAGTGAGCTATTTGTCATTGGACTTGCAATGAAAATAACAATCAAATAAAAAATCAGACGGAAAATTCTTAATAAACTTCTACAGGAAATAAAGATAATCCTAACGTGTTTATGAGAAAAGATTTATAATTTAATGAATGAAATGTTGAATAAATAGTAACGAAAAATACAACAATCACCCACTCGTTACATTACTTATACCACAACATTTCTCCAAATTTCAACCAGGATGAAAAGGAATCACAAACACATTTTATGCTTTAGCAACAATTCAAAACTAAAAGAGGTAGCAATCTGTGATGTAATCAACACTGGAGAAAGGCTCTTTCCGAAATCAATTTTAGTTCAAACGAATTTATCAATTACATCGCGTGTAGTAACTAACTTCGAATTTTAAATATTTTCATTATAACTCCGTCCATATGTGTAACCTACAGAGCATAAATTACAGAATCCATTCTTTGCTTTGCTTCATTCAGCTTTTGTGCATACGACTTTTCTGCATCGGCGAAAGCCACTTTAGAAAGCTGTCCTTTAATGAAGCGTTCCGTCTGAAATTATGTTTTAATTTCTTTTTTTAAAGAAAAAAAAAGGAAAACAACCATCTCTGGTTATTTCATCCTATAGATTTTCTAAGAAATTCCCTCCACTGGACTAACCATAACTGTTTCGTTTCGATGTTTGATGGGGTACATATTTCGAAGAAAGCTAGCATAGCATACTTTCACTGGCTAAAGTCAAACAATCCGAATCAATGATGGCCTAAACGTCCAACGAATAAATAGGAAAATTTAGAGGCTGGCAAAGTAAGATTTTATGCGAAAATTTATGCACCACAGCACTAGTCATACATATGTAGTGAAACCTTTAAAACTGCCTGACACTACTATGGGAAGAATTTTCTGGGTGTTTCAAAATAGCCCCGGAGGTAAAATTTCTAAGAGAAGTTTTGTTGGCTTTTAAGTATAACCAGTGTCAACTATTGCCGAATGCATGATGTGGTTTCAAATTCTAGGCTTCATTTCAAGTTTCTGTACCATGATGTAACATTTTAAGGCACTCAACATTCCTGCTGTAGCCACAAGGACCAAAAAAACACTCAATACTACAGTCAGAAAAAGCATAAAATCCGCAAAATTCAATTACAGTTTGGACTTATTCCAGGCGATTAAAATCTTACTTGTCCCAAATAATTGTTTATAACATCCATCGTTAGTTTGTGCATTTTATTGACTTCGTTTAACTGAAATTAAATAATGACCAATACCACTGTAACTAGAATCCAAAAATACTACCTGGTTTGAGTCAATTCTTCGCATTTACTTGTTACCAAGGAGGCAACTTATACTTTCCACCTTGTACAAGAAATAACACATAAAATTCTAGTGAAATGAATTATTAAAAAGGTCTAAAATAGTTACTACTTTATTTAAACAGCTGCAAATTAATATTATATTCAATTCCGCTACATCTTGAAATGCAACAGTCGCGAGTAAGCTGGAACAAAGATAAGGAAATACCTTGTCAGATATGTCAGCGTTTGTAGATTTCAATTCGCTCTGCAGATCAGCGATAGCCTGTCCAACGTTTTTCAGATCATTCTCTGCCTTTTTCCTTGCTGTTGTAAATGCAGCCAGATCCTGAATTTATATGGCGGTAACAATTTTCACTAAACCATAAAACAATGTGACGTGAAATATACTACAGTACTGCCATGAAATATGCTACAGAACTTTTCTTAAATACTCGAAAAACATGAGAAGGTAAGGACCTTATTATTCTTGAATTTGTTCACAGCATCCGCAAAATGGTCGTAAATTTTCAATCGATCAGCATGTAGATCTGTTAGCTGTTCCACTTGTCCTTGCGCTTGCAACCGACTTTCTGTTGCAACGTCCTCAAAATGCATACAAAAAACTCTCATCAAATTTTAAGCTTGCATTAACAAGATTATTTTGGAAGAGAAGCAATGCAGAAACAGTGAAGCACACGAAAAGTGAGAGAAGACAATTTGTTACCTTGTTGCCTGTCAATATTTTTTATTGCTGCATGACTTTAAGGAAACATTTTGATATAGGAGTTTTTGGGAAACAATCAAATCGAACATATATATCCCACACACAGGCAAGTCTCAAATAAAAAGAAAAAAACTATTGAAAATGAACAGCTTACAGGCCAGATTGTGAAATCCAATCGAACATATATGATAACTGCAACAAACAAAGTTGCAAAAGCGGCACAAGCAAGGAAAGGTTCTCTCCAAAGTTGCATGCGGTCAAATTCGTAGTGCAACTGCAAAACCTCATTGTGATAAATAACTAACATATCAGGACAAAATTACATTAAATTACATTACTTCACTTTGATTAATATGGCATTTATCGGGGAGTGATTATCAGAAAGGGTCTCTAATCTATTAATGGAAACCAACGGATTTTTCCACTTGCAATCATAATTACAGAGATGGAATTTTCCGCTCTATTATGATTCATTGCATATCTATAAAGTCATAAAAAAATCTATTTAAATAAAAAAAAGAAAGCACATACAGTGAACATTTGAATGTGGAAATCAACGAGGTTATCTTTTTCGACTGTGATGACAGGGCGGCCAGTAGTGTCCAGGTATGTGAAATGTAACTCATCTGGATGTCTCGTCATTGGATATGGTGTTGTCAGTTTGAAGTCCCTGGAAACAAAATATTTAATGGAGAGCTACAAAAGCTTTAGTCACTCAACTGCATCGGAAAATCGCAAATCCAAATAAAATTAGCATCAAAATATAAAATGTAAACACTTACTTACTCCCTTCTGGTAGTATAATTTTCAACTTCAAATTCTTAATAACGGCGTCGTCGAACAGATGATCAACAATACGCATCTTCAGTGCAAATTTATTGCCTGATGAATAAAGATATTGATAAGCTGGAACGTTGTAACCCAGTACATAATCCGTTTTCCACCCACCGAACAATGGAAAACGTGGTTGTACAATTAATTCAACAACATCTGTCATTTTCCGCACGGCTGAAGTAGAGATGTTACCAATTTCGTCGCGATAATAAATATCCTTCGCCGATGCTGGTAATAAAGTCTGCAATTATTTCTTTCAAATAACCCAAAGTACGCAAACACGAATCCGGACGGTTGAAATCCATAAGTTTAGGAAAATGCATACTTTATATTGAGTTACCACTGGCCTTTTACTGCCTCTTCGATCCATTTGGAAATCAAGACGAGAAAATGAACCCTGAAATCTGAATGCTAGAACGATATATCACAATAAAATCCAATATAATAAACATCAGAACAAAAACATGAACACCTTTAATTCTGCTCCCTTATGAACAACGTTGATCGCCTCTTCTACAGCAATATTACCCCAATGTGAAACTTCAATCACTCTCACAACATCAGTTGCTACAATGAACGGCGTGTTGTTTTCATAGTGCACAACAACTTCCACCTTAAACAAATTTACAGTTCAAAACAAGTTATTTCAACCAGGAAGTAGTGATTTCAAAGTTTCGACCTCTATAAAGTTTCGACCTCTATAACTAAGGATCTTACCACCGCATACGGTTTCTGGTCTATATATGGCCCATAAATTATTTTGCCATTGTCAACTGATGTTGGTGGAACTGTTGTACGAGATTCAAGTTTTCCGCTAGGCAAAAGTACCACAGTTTTCTCCTGTTTCACTGGATAAATACTCGGAACATGTGCATTCCCTTTGTAAACAACAAACCTAAGTTAGGAAAGTTGTAAATCAACGATACTATGTTGAAAAAAAGTTCCATAACAATCAAAACTGTTTAAAGTGATCGGTGCTTTAGATAAACAAAACTTGTCCATTGCTACTGCTATAGAAACAAAGTTGACGCACAATGCATATAAGAGTTTTGTTGGTCTCAGCTAACAATAACCGATAGTTTTGATGAGATTATCTACAGTAGGATTCAGTTATTTGAGCAAGAAAACGGTTCATAAAAAAAGCAAAAAGTCTAACAGCTTAACAAAAACCTACTGTGATTCAGCTTGAGTGATCCTCTTTGGATGTGGTTCCAAATATTCTGTCAGTTGATACTCCACGGTAACAACAGTTTTGCCGTTTGGCGGAATAGCATTTTGTAATTCAATCTGCAAATAAAATTTTACGACTTTCTCCCCTAGATACTTTTTACAGCATATAACATCGAACTAAATACCAATGATTTCAGAAAAGTAAAGTAAAAACCTTGTAGGCCACAAATCCTTCTTTTATACTGTCCCTTCCATGGTCGATAAGTGACACTTTTAATCCCGTATCTTTTTTCGAAACAATCGCAGAAATGTATGCAAGCCGCAAGTGCTCCTTTTCATGGACTAAGTGTACAAAACTATTGATTTCCTTACTGCCTTCATTTGTTACTTCATATTTATCGGTTACTTTTACTATCTGGAAGAAAAACTCAAATATATATTGGTAGCAGTAATTAAGCTTTGATATAACAAACTTAGGGAAAAGAGGTTAATCTATCAAATAGATTTCTTCCAGTGAAAAATTCTTTCCTGTTTTTTGTCCCTAACCCTCTGTAAATGTGACAAGTTCTAATGAAAAAGATTGTGTAAGTCAAAAGTATTCCTTTTCATAGGCCAACTTTCAGATACAAGTATTGCTTAAATACCAGGCATTGTTTCGGCTGATCCATCAGAGAATGGACTGAGTGCAATAGTTTTCTAATACTGTTTTGTCCCAAAGGTAAAAATATGACCACTGACTTGCTTAGCACGGAGTCATGCTATTCACTGGACACGACGTTGCACTGAATAACTGATAAGCTCCAAGAAAATAAGAAATCGAAGTTAAAATTCAAATTAAAAAGAAATACCTGCGTTGATATATCGATTACCCGTTCTACGGAAATTGTAATGTCAGAAGAAGGCAATTCGGTACTACCAACTAAAGAGGCAATAACCAGTAGAGCAGGAAAGCCTTTCCACCACGACATTACCATAATTCTTCAGAATTTTCGTTACCGGCTATCGAATTTATCGGCAGCTAATTTTTCACGAATACGTCATTATACATCAACAATAAAAATTACAAAGATGATATGGATTCTAGATGGCTTAGCGAAAAGAGATGTCAGCCAAAATATTTTTTACGATCAAAATTTCATCGTTCTTCTGTTTCTGCTACTGTAACTTACATACTTAGCTTACAGGTCCCCAAGAAATAAGTTGATATACTGAATTAGCTTCCCCTCATTGACCTACTAATTTCAGATACAGACACTACTTGACGTGCTTCATTTTGGTTTATTAGATGTGAGAACATTAAATCTCAAAATCACCATCCAATTTATCAAGCAAAAGAAGATAAAGGGAAGTGGAAAGAAGAGGTTTAAGGATGAGAAAGCACCTCACATTAAAAGCAAGAATTATTACAAACACTAGCCTCAAACCCTACATTTAATTTAATTCTGCTCATTTTTCCACGTTGCATAAGTGGGTAGATGGTCATAACAGGACGGAAAGCAGTGAATAAGAGAACGGTGGGAATGATGAGGGTGCGAGGGTGATAGTGTTGCGAAATGATGAGAAGTCTGCAAACGGGAACGGATCTGAGGTTCCATTTGGCTAAGAAGAAAATTCGGACATGTGCTGGTAACTTTGGGATATTCGTACGGGTATTTTGGAGTGTACATGGAAAATCAAAGTGTAGGTAATGGTGTTATTGTAGTAGTCATTTATTCCAGAAAATTTAGAAAGTTTACTTGGTGTTGTATACATCTTGATATATACGTTACAAATGTCTTATGAAGGGAAATTTTGAAGTTGGAGATGTAAATTCAGAATTTATGCTTTAAAATTTAAACCGAATATTCGGAATATGCTGAGGAGAGTTGCAGTTTTGTCTCGGAAACCTCGATAAAACGATTTTTGGATGTGACAAAAGTGTGGGATGTTTGATGCGCGATGGGACTCTCGATTTCTCCATGTGATATTAAAAGATGCGCTTCCATATTATAAAATGATTTTCATTACAAAATGTTTTAGACCTCGCACTAGTTGGGTCTGTCATAGGGAATTCGTTTAATAACCATAATAGAAAAGGAATGTGGACTCTAGCTTATTGTATAGCTTGCCAGTTATAACTCTCTTCATATTGAAGACTTTATTTATCCCACATAAGGAAATGCTTATAAGCTAATTGTTGTCGGTTTTGTTAGAATTAGTTGTTTATTTTCAATACTTATATTTTTTATTGTTGCAGTTAAGTAATCGATATTGAAATTGTCAAATAATCTTTGCAAAAAAGTTGATAGCAAAACAATTTATATAGAATTCATAATGGCCATGCTCATTTGCAGGTTGTTGTTTAGAGGCCTAAATTTTATTTTCCAAAAATTCAAAAGAATTTAAGGAGAAAATCCAGAAATCCGCCACATGATTCAGAATTTGTTTAATGCTGATTTCGTGGAATTAATTATGTGTCAGATCTGGAAGCGATCAAGAAGTTGCTTGAAAAATAATGAATTGAATTTAAAGAGATATGTGGGTAGTGCTGGATTTGGTTCTCTTTAAACAGCGAGCTGCTTTTGCACACCTTCAAAGTCCTGTAAAAGGGAAAAATCGACAGCTGTTTCAGGATAGTAGCTAAGTCAAGCGTTATAGTGTTTAAACTAACTTTTTTTTTGAATATAGACTAAAAAGAAAGAGTGAATTATGTCGTTTTCAAAAAATTCAGAGAATTCCATGAATTTGGAATGCACGATTAATTTGCAAAGAAATTTCTTGCTCAAATCATTGTTAGCAGAGATTATTTGTCCTTCTAATCTTCGAAATTTGCCTTAATGTTTTTTCCCAATAAATTTGCCAGCATTAAAAGCAGAACATCGATGGTTGTCATATATATGAACTAAATAAATGGAACAAGACCGATATTTCTTCTTGCTTGTTGAAGTTGAGAAAGCTAGGAGTTTTGGAGAGGATCCGTGACTTCTACAAAGAGTTCCGATAATTGGGAGTAGTTTAAAGTTTAAAGAAAAACCATCATTCCGAAATAATGCATATGAAAGTTGCATGAAGCTGAGAAATTTCGTTTTCGAAATTTGATGAGAAACGAGTTCTTGGATTACTCATCTTTTTGTCTTGTAATCTAATGAATGGGAACAAAAATATGGGTGAAGAAGGAAAAACAAGTTTTTCTGAGTGGTTCAGATTCTAAACCAGCTGGTTAGAATTAGCAGTTATGATATAATTATAAAGAACCGACAATAACAGAAGCATCAATGCATTACCTCATCCAGATTTTCAGCAGAAGAAAGACTAAATTCCCCACGGCAATTACTTAACCATTTAACCGTGATACTGGCTAACACAGGAATTGAACTTTGCTGCAATTTATCTGTTATAAAGATTGCTAGTAAGAGAGACAGCATATTCACGTCAAGTTCATTCCTCCTTTACTCATGTGACAAACTTACAGTGCTCCGCAATAAAAATTTAAAAATTTTAATAGTTGCTATCTTTTAACTTAAGCAGTCATTGGGCAGCGGTGAAATTTGTAATACTTTTTTTAAAGATGCTTCCATGAAATTATTATCTCATAAAAATTTCAAGAATTTTCCGCACTATCAACTGTACGAAGGTTCTCAAATCTTTCCGAAACATATGTCATCTGATAGTCTACTGTATATGATAACATATTTAGTTACTGCAACACTGGCATATCAATTACCCAGGTGAAAAATTTGGAGACTTTGAAATACCTATCTAGTAAGTTGCTGCCTTGCTGTTAAATTCCTCGTGTCATCTTCCTATGCTTGACTTTAGCAATGAAAGTAACAAATGAAGAATGAAAAGTGGAGAACAAAGTTTTGCTAGACTGTTAAGTGGAACGAAAGTAGTTGAATCCTGGAATGCCGCTGGCAGTAGATAGTGAATCCGAGTCATCGTCAACAAGGCCAATCGAATCAATCAAAAAGGTGAAAAAGAAAGCAGTAAAAAAAGCGAGTTATTAGCAAAATAAAACCGGATCTATCCCATGGTCTTCATTTTCCCATTTGCTGATCCATTTTATGTAGACGTCACCTATCATACATAACTCAAATGAATTCTGCTAGCTATTTGATAAAAATTTCATGGTTAGTTTGATAGATTGTGGGAGGAGATTCATATTCTATATATAAATTCCAAAAAGTTTACCACATAAATCAGTTACTTCTTCAATATCTTCAAGAAACATTTCTATCCAGCAACTACTTCTACCAACTCTTCTTTATGGTCCTCAAAGGGAAATTTTGATCTATTTGAACATCTCTAGTGTCTTTACTTATTCTGAAAATTCAGTTGAAGTCTTGGGAAAATGGAATTCATATTTTTCATTCCACGGATTTCCAAATTAATCAATCAATTTTCCATTATATCACGTGGTTAGCAGATTAAAAATTGAAAGTTGGGTAATTGCAAAGATTCCTAAGTAATAAAAAGTTTGGACGAAGCAACTCTTCTAACGTTTTTACAACCGTGAATTCTTACCAAAATTTTACTTAATTAGTGCATTGTTTTGTTAAGATCGAACTTCTTGGTGGTGGAAATAAACCAAGGTTGCAATGGCCAGTGGTATGCTAAATGCTGTTCTTCTATATGTAATCATTCATGTCGGTAGGGCGTGCTTTTCATCTGGAGTTTGTGGTGGTGGTGGTTATGGTTGCACACAACCTGTGGCTCCAGTATGTTCTGGCGGTTGTTCTCCCGGGTATGCTTGTGGACAATACGGCTGTTACTCCAGAGCACGTGCACGATCATCGAAAATATTTGAAGATATGGTAAATGATATGCCCAAGGGTGATAGTGGTGTTGCTGCTGTAGCTGCTCCTCCTACTGCAAAAGTATCTTTAAAATTATAAAATATGTGGTAAAAAGTTTAAATTGAAAGGAAATGAATTAATCGAGGTTGTGGTAATTTTTTTTTTATCATTGCACATTACTCGTTAGTAATGATAATAATGCACTTACAGAACAGTGCTGAATTCCTTCATTTCAATAGGAAATCCAAATTTATAATGAATAAATTCTTTTCTTTAAAAATAAATCCCAAAGCGAGTTCTTTTTTTTTTTTTTTTTCCTTGAGTGATTAAAATGTAAAGCGCGTCTAAAATTGCGTCGCGTCATCATTACGTCATCACCATCCAATGGGTTGTACTAAAAATGAGACAATTCTGATTTTTTTTTTTTTTAATTGTGGAAACATTTTTCTCAAAAAGATTAGAATACAAAATTATTACATGCATTGTTACTACATCGGGTCAATTTCTTTTTCCTTTCTATCTAGCGCCAAGAATTAAATGCTCAACAAATGACCAATGGCCAGTTCTATGAATGCTGTATCCATCAAAAACTTCCAGATAGCTGCTTAGAAAAGTGTTCATTTAATACATATACAAAGAATGCATTGGAGGTAATGATTTAAATTTGCAATGTTTTTCGAGTTGCATTTTTGCTATTGCATTTCTCAAGAAACTTCAAAAGGACTGGTGACAGTAAGATGACCTAAATAATTCACTAGCAATAAAAATCTCGATTTTATTAAAAATTTGCTAATTTTTGCTAGTTCAGGCTATGTATCTTCACCTTGACAAATGTCCATTATCAGCATTAGCTGATATATCGTATTGTGCTGCTGGTGGACAAGACCATACAGAGTGTTGCATACGGAATGGTGTTGCAACAACACTTGCTGGAAGGAAATGTCTTACATTTTGCGACCAGGTATCAATTTTATCTCTAGCAAAATTTTAGAATTTCAAACATTATTCAAATTTCAGTTAAGGAGCACCTTGAATCGAGATAAATGATTTATCATTTTACAGCGACCAGGAAATGTGACAAAACTGGACTTGTCCTATCTACCCTGCTATGAACGTTTCGAAAATATCAAACGTTGCTTTATGGAGCATATTAGCGTCCAAAATAAGCCAACTATCATTGATGTAGGACTTGCACGAACATTCGAAAGTTGAAGGCGAAGTAAAATTTCTTTTCCTGCTCAATTCTGATCAATAAAAATCTGGTGTTCTTCCGAAAAGTCGTACATGAACAATGAAACTCTTGAATTTATTTTGAAAGCTTGAAGTTTTTCTAAATGATTGAATTACTTCGAAACTCGCCCATTACTTAAAAATTCAAATAAATTTCATCCATTCATTCTGCATTTGAATACTTCAATTTTGAATTATAATTGAATGCAATGTTGCACAAATAAAATTCTCACATTTTTGCTACTTCAATCTGATTTGTTGTAAGTACGCTAAAATTTATTCATATAGCTGTTTCATGAACGAAATATTATATTTCAATCAGATAATTGCTCTCAAGCAATTAAACATGTCAAAATTCACTAACTCGATATCAATTCTTTTCTATTTTTTACTGAGTTTTGTTGGCTCATTTATTTCATCACATTGTCAATCCATATGTTTCACATTTGCATGTGTAAAAAACATTGCTGTTTCGCAAAATAACAAACTTTATTACTAACTTGTACTGAGAGAAGAACAATAGGAATCTCTAATTTCAATTCCTGTACCTATCACAAATGATGGAAATTTCCTACAGTAATACACATGTAAATCACACAGCAATGATATTAGTAAGATAACCGTAATCAAAGGTTTATAAATTTTAAACTAATAGTATTTGCACGGTTAATGTAAACTGCTCAATATTTAGAGTAAGACTCATTGATGAAGAAAAACGTAATGAACAGCAAAACTGGACGGCTTGAACAATGATAACCGATACTTTAAGTATTAGCAGAAATCAAGCCAAGTGTGAGAAGTTTTTGGAACATATAAAAAGCCCAGATTTGTGGTACTTAGTCAAGTTCATTCTCGACATCTGTCACAGCAAACGCTTCTGTTTCATATGTGGAATCATGCTTGGCCAATATTCTCAATAGCGGTCGTAATCTCATCCACCATTGATTTTTCGGTAAACGATGCTCAAAATCGGTCACTTGAGCCAATTCTTCAACTGGTGTAAATACCATTCTTCGATCCTAGATTAAAGCTTTGATTCGTATCAACATATATTTGACTGCTTGGTAATTTTTGTCTTATAATTCTTTAACCTATGAACCAATTACCTCTAGACCAAGAAGCGTAGCGCTGTCCACAGTAGTTGCATTGGTCACTCCACTTACCGGATCAGTATACTTCTTTGCTTGAGCTAAAATAAATTCAAGAGCGTTTGCAGCAAGTTTCGTACCCATATTGCGGTCAAATGGTGCCGGATTACCACCCTGTTGTGCATGTCCTAGCACGTTGATTCTGTAACAAAATCCTTCATTCTCTCAACAGCCTTTTGTTAAAGTATTGTTGTAAATCAGGTGATGATCGGTTGGTTGACATGCTCATTTTACTAAGTGACGCAATCACTTTATGAATCCAATTTCTGTGCTAATATTCGCAAACTGAAGTTGACAGCAACTCCCGCTTCGTCTCTTTTTTTTTTTTTTAAATTTTCATATGTAATTTATAATATTAACTAACAACAATGTAAAGCATTTTCAGTTACCTTGTTGAGAATTGTCCTCTGCCTTCTTCCGAAAAAAGTTGATTAACAAACTGTGTAGTATAATTTTTGTTAGCCAATTCACAACGAACAATGAGGTATCGCTGTACACCAGTACGCATTTTCCGGGCAATGACCTTAAGAACAGGCCAATAATCACAGCAGTATAATTAACTTTGTTTTTTTTTTTCTTTTTTCTTTTTTTTTAAAGAAAGAATTATTTCAAGTATTTTCGGATAAGTGTTACAATAATATAATTGAGAAGTGCTGATGAAATTTCTGGATTGGAGTCTTATTTTTTTATTGAAAAACGTTAATTTGTTACGTGGCTTGATATTTCTTATTAAAAATTTGGCCCTCTATTATCTCTAATAAATATTTCAACGCAGAAATTTATAAAACGATGAAATAGTATATAAAAAAATACCTTAACATCTTCAATGATATCACTAACATCGAATTTCTCTTCAAATATATAAGCATTATCAGCTCCTGATGCGAGAGCTGAAAGAGTCGCCAGATATCCACAATATCCGCCCATTGTTTCCACAATAAATACGCGTTTTTTAGTGCCCGTTGCAGATTGCTTAATTTTATCAATCACTGCACAAATTTCATTAACTGCTGTATCGGAACCCAATGAAATCGATGTACCGGGTACGTTATTACTGATAGTGCAAGGTATTACGCAAAGTGGAATACGAAGTGATGGATATTGATTACGAGCGTGTGAAAGCATCAAGCAAGAATGATAAGCCTGAAATATTAGCTCCTTTCCTAGTTTGGTTTTCAATTAAAATTAATTAATTTCATATGGCTTGTGACAAAAGAAGAAAACTTTTCGTCATTTTACTATCAATTTCATCAAATAGTATTATTTGATATGAACTATTGTATCACATTTGTATTTCTTTCACCAGATACAGTAAGCAATCAGTCATCTTCTTTCAGAAATCAGATGATTAAAAAGTACCTCAAAACCTCCGACCATCAGTAATCCATGAATTTTGAATTTTTCCAATGTTGCCGCAACCTGGCTCATATTCTTTTCTGGTAGTTGTTTCTGAGTACCCAAGAATGACCCACCATACATGACCCAACCATTCACATCTTTCCATGACATTTCCTGAATTTACAAAGATAATTTCCAACGAAATTTATCCAATTTTCTAGATAAAATTAAAATTTACTAATGAAATAGCTTTACTTTTAGATCGCCATTAGCTAGCCCTTCAAATGAATTTTTAACACCATACACTTTGCAACGACGATAAATGCCCATACGAACGAATGAACGCACCACTGCATTCATTCCTGTAAATTTGAAATTACATTTGCAATTTTAGAATGCTAATATTTCAATAAACTTATCATTATTCACTACAATAATGAATTACTTATTTGGGAAATTTGTCGAATTAGTGAGAATGTTCAAAATTCAATTTGCCATTATTGTAATAGTTGATGAATGAGATTTTAAAAACTTAACGATTTCAAAATCTTTTATGTGATTCTCATTGGCTGAGTGATTCACAATGCGGCGGATATATTCCGCAGTACAAGAGCTGCTCTGGCTTAGAACATGTCAAAAGAACAAATAATACGGGAAGTATTCAACAAATATAATAGTACAAATATATCAATAAAATAAACCTCCTGCAGGTGCTCCAACATTTATCACGGCGACATTATATGATGGCTCATTCGATGGCACATCGCTTTTGGGTTCTAATTTTGTCAACAGGCGATAAGTTTCTAGATTCCTCTGAAAACTTCGCCCTCTCAATTTCACGGCTGTGTCCCAATCGTGCGTTTCCATGGCTTTTTGAACCTTCAAATGTGAGTATTTGTTTCGAATTCACTTTTCTGATCTACTGAAAAAAATTTGAAAACTGAAAGAATTGATAACATTTGTTTTGAATTTAGAACAAAATATGGTCAAATTCATTTACAAATGGTTTATGAAACTTCTGTAATTAACGATGTCTACTTTAGTAAGTAAAGACTAACGGCTTGGGTGCGATGAACACACTGCATGAGCGGTACTCGGACAATGGCGTTACCATCAATGGACACAACACATGGCTCCGATGTTGGGGTCATTTCCATCAGTGCAAGCACAGCTTCAGCACCCATTCGACATCCAAGAAGTCGATCAAAAGCAGATGGACTACCACCACGTTGCACATGACCCAGCACGGTTACACGTGTATCATATTGCAATCTTTCTTTTACTACATTTTGCACCTGTAATGTCTCTCGTTCAACAAATTGGAATATTGCAGTTCACTTCATTTTTAAGTCTCAGTAGATGAATTTAACAACAGATGGCCTAACTTGAAATTTTTGTTGATGAAGCCTGCATTACCTACCTGATTGGCTGTAATCGGCTTGCCATCCCGATCCAGTGCTCCTTCGGCAACTATGATAATATTCAGTCGTGATCCTTCATGTCGCATTAAATGTAGCTTCTGACACAGTACTGTAGGCCAATCCACCGGTACCGGCCATTCGGGAATAAAGCAGAAATCTGCTTCAGATGCTAAAGCAGCTACAAGTGCCAAATAACCGCAATGTCGGCCCATTACCTTTAGGTATTTTATGTTTCGTTTTTTGAAATAAATAAATTTTCAAAAGCATGAAAGACAACGAAATTAATAAATATCTCCATTAACAGAGAATACATGATAAGTTACAAGTAGGAATCAAAGTTAGTTAGAGAATACGCATTGCAAGATTGAAGTCAAGCAAGAAAAAAAAAGCAATCGGACTTATTCTCAAAGTTTATCTACCCGCTCTTGTCAAGAGCAATTTATCACCTCAATAACGAAAGTACGTTGATGACTGTGCGCAGTTGACACCACAGAGTCGATAGCCTCAATAATTCGTTGAAGCGCAGTATCAGTACCGATCGTCATATCGGTGCCACAGAAATCATTATCAATGGAACCCACAAGGCCAACAATCTAGGAACGATAAAATTTAAATAAATATCCACCACAGAGAAGTAAAAGTGAATTCGTCAAAATTTAACTTTCTTCTTCCCCTTCTCTCGAAAATTTCCACTCATCTCTTTCTAAAAACTGACTTCTTAAAAAGAAGTGAACAGAGAAAAAGAGAGAAAAAATACCCATAAATCAGCAGAGTAAGGCAATCCTTATTACTGTTCTATAGATCTTTCAAAAACACTACCAGTTTGCATGATTGCAAAAAAAGAAACTGCGTGTTTGCAAACTTTTCACCTGGATATTTTTGCATGATTCGCTTTCTTGCTGAGTAATTTTGCCAGATATGAGCAATTCTTGAACTAAACTTGGCCATTCCTGTCGGAATAAATTTGCACCCGTCAATGAGCCATCACCTGCATATTAACTTCACTTCTTATAAAATGAATCTATTAAAAAAAAAAAAAATTTAAACTGAAATTGAATACAATTTCAGTTAAATTTCTGCTATTAATCAACTGTAAAGCCTTATGATTTTCTGATCAGAATTGCATGTAACTAACTTCAAAAGCGAAATAATACCTCCAATGCATACTAAATTAGTAATTTGTTTCTTGATAAGATTTTCAGCAGCACGAAGCCGACCTGGCCGTTCGCGGAAATCTTTACAACGAGCCGAACCAATTATAGTGCCTTAAATGAATGATGAATGCATTTGTGATGAATCATGAATAATTTCATGATCTAAAGTGGAAATAAAATATAAAATACACTACAAATTTTATCTGTATACAACAAACCGCCTTTTTGGATAATATCTGATACGGAATCCCACTCAGCTTCCTTGATATATTCCCCACCGTCGACCATACCTTGGTAACCTTCATAAATGAAATATACTCGACAACCGAGGTAAAGTCCCATCCGGACAACTGATCGTACTGCGCTATTCATTCCTGCATTTTTTTTTGATTTTCAAACTTAAGTAATTTGCGCAACATTGATTTCTACCAGGTTAGCTTTCATACAAGTGTTTTTCAGTAATATTTGATAGTGAATCATTACTAATGTTAAGGATGACTAAATATTATCAAGAGAGGGTTAATTTGATATTCATCACAAACCAGAAGCATCACCACCACTCGTGTACACAGCAACTGCTTGTCCCTTATAGAGCTTTGGGGCAATTATGATACCCTCATGACCTTCTGTTGGTATTATGGAATCTGATCGAGCTTTTGAGAAGTTTTTTCCACGAGCGGATATTTCCTTCAGAGGACCCAGCTCATCGTCATTTGCAGCAGTGTTCGGAGCGATAGCTGCATTTAGCTCAAATGGCTTCACGAATTCCGGAGGTGGGACTGTTGTTGGTTGTGTAGAAGGCAAAACGGCAGTTTGCGAAGTCGGGATTGAAGTAGCAGATTTTTGTTCAGGTTGTGTTGCCATATTCTGGAAGAAGTAGCAATAATTTAGTGGACTCTGAATTCGGAAAACGAAAATTCATATTGAAACCAAAGTGCGCTTTTCAACGAAATGTGACTATTCGATGATACTAATAATTCATTTCAGGCAGCAAACAACCCCATTTGATTTGTAATTAACGACACAATGTGCTTCGATTTCGTAATTTTCGATATGATTTCTGTAAAATTTTCAATTTTAAACTTTTCAAAATGTTTGTATCAGTGGAGCTATAATCTAGAATCCAAATGACGTAAGTTCAGATTCAGTCTTAAAATGCACAATCCTGAAATATTCTGCAATGGACACAAATGTAGTACCGTAGAACGTAAGAACCTACGTACGTGAGAACTTATTGTTGCCAACGACATTAAATCAGTCCTTGCTAGCTAATCAAAATATTTTTGCAAGAGGAAAGAGAATTATTGCCGAGTAATGATGTATTGGAACAAGAAACTTGAGAATATATTTCGTACTAATCTATTGAAATGAAAACAAATTTAGTTTAAAATTCAATTTTTTTTGAATAAATCATCATTAGTAATGTAATGAATTTAGTGAAAAAAAAAAGAAAAAAAAGCAAGCTGAAAAGAGATGAACAAATTGCCTGTCGATGCATTTTACTGCTATCGACTTCTACCACAAAATGTTCTCTTTGATAGTCATTTTTCAAATGTAATTGAAATATTAGCAAAGCTACAGGTATTACTTTCTCACAAAACTGGATGACACTTCTGTACCATTCATATGATGAACACTTTTATTACACTTTCCATAATGCACTTACAAAAAATCTCATTTCTATTACCGGCAGACTAACTAATTTAATGATATATAAACAACAATAAATAAAAAGCAACAAGCAATTAACTACAACGATAATTGCATTATTATAATCTGGAACAAGCAAACTAATAAATGAAAATATCACTGCTATTACTATTACTATCATTATTATCAGATTAGTTTGCACCTATCTGCAAATATGTGATTATCTTTGTTGTTTCTCTTGTTCCAACAATTTTTCGAATAAATTGAATGAAAATTTTCAAATGAGTTGAACGTTCACTTTTCAAATTGCTTCATTTATTAATTTAACTTTTAGTTTTAAACTTTTCTCATTTCAAGATACCATATAATGAAGAATGGGTGGTAATTTAAACGAACAATAAATCAAATGTGATTCATCAAGTTCACTAATGATGTAAAAAGATATTTGACTGATTTGTTTAAGTTCAACATACATACACACATACATACATACATATATACATACATACATACATACGCACATACATACATACATACATACATACATACATACATACCTACTTACATACATACACACACATACACACATAAAAGATTGAAAGCTGTTATTGGAGGTGAATCTTAACACACTTTAAAATCGTTTAATTTTATGAAAATCCAGGAATGTTAGTCTCAATCAATTCTATAAGCTTTGTCTTTTATAGCAATTCTAGAACGAATTTCTGGAGAATATTTGCATACAGTGATTTTTCTGTTACAGAAACAAAATTGTATTGCTCAGAAAAAAAAAACTTCCCGAATTCTCGAAGTGTTAATATAAGAATTACACGGCGTTATGGGTAACCATTAAGTTTAATTGTGTGCCAATCACGAATAGAAATGAATTTTGCATAAAAAGAAAAAGGTGGCATGTAGTAGCGACCTACAAAAGTTCCTCACTTATTTTCTCGTCTTTAAATTACAAAAGTTTGGCAACTCAAAAATGAGCAAAACATGCTTTAAAAAGAACAAATATATATATTCCATTATTTAACAAATAAAAATGAGAGGATAATTTTTTGAAATGAGCCAATGGATCCAATATGACCAAGCTAACATGTCCTCATTTTAGCATGCAAATAGAAGGAAGACAGAATATTAGGGTGAAAAGAGCTTAAAAGGCCTTGTTGTGTATTACTCTCAATAACAAGAGAGCAGTTTGAAATGCAGCATAGCTAAAATCTACACTTCGCCTAACATCCATCGATTGTTGAAGGATGGAAAGAGATAACGCAGAGAGAAGTGAAAGTATAAGTTATCATTATCTCGGAAGTGCAGTTAAAAATGTTTGTGAACTTGACTTTTCCAAAAGAAAAAAAAGTTTTCAAGAAATATGAGCAGTGGGAAAGAGATGCAGCTAATGTTTAGTTTAATCAGTGAGGCTTTTCTCACACTTACTCTCGATTAAATACTTTCACGCTTGTTAGTTAATGCTAGGAGGACTACGATGATGTTAGCAGCAAATGAGTTTTGTTAAAAATCACAGAGAAATTTCTATCGGATTTTATGACAAGGAATCAATACGGGATCAATATTTTGAAATTTTTTTTTCCAGAAAAATTTCTTGAGATTTTGAAATAAAGCAAAGAGAAGGTATTTAACGTTATGTTGAGAAGTGATCGTTTTCTTGAAATGAGCATTGTACGATAAAGAAAAAAAATTCAGGACATGTTTGCTTACATTATTGGGTATACTGCCAAAAAACTGCCAAAAACTGCCAATATACTGCCAAAAAAAAACAACTTTTAAAAATTCAGAATACCTAAAGAAATTAATAAATATGTGCATTTATGTTACCAGTATCTGTGTTTTCAGATGTCTTTTCAATATTTCTTTTTATGAGCTATTGATTAAAAACCAGTACTCATTTTGAGTGAACAGAACTTCATCAGTCAAATACCATAGGACATCAAGCATCCCAGAAGAGTTGTACAATATCAATCCTCATTGAATCATTCCGTTTCAATTACTATTTGTTGCAAGTGAAGAAAAAAAGGAGCGAAACAAAATGAATAAGGAAATAGTGAGCAAGGGAAAAGAAACGAATGTTTTTGATAATACTGCCCTTCTGATTTATGAAATTTCGAAGAAATGATCAAAATCCTCCATAATCTTTGGCTAAGAATGTCTACCATATAATATCCAAATATGATCCTGTCACCATCTAAAACAGATCCATAAAATAGACATCGTGTCAATCTCCATCTTCAATCAATTCTGTATCAATTTAACAAAATCAATCAACAGTGTCGAAAGGAACCATTCCATAAAATTAATTGGGAATTGGATTTTTACTATGTTTTATTACATCAACAAAACGAGCTGATAATCACAATTATTGATGGATTAATTATTGATAATGGATTAATTTATCAGATGAGTCTTGCCACATCCAATATTTATTTTGCTACATCTGATAAATATCAGATGAGTTTTGTTACATCTGACAGGCAATAAATTTTGCAATAAGAGAAAAGGGATCGATATGTCTTGTAAATGTAAGGTAATAAAATCATCGTTAATTAATTTAACAACAATTTCTATCCAAATACAATCAAAATTTGGATATGTATTCATTATATGCAAAACTTTCGAAATCAAACCATATCGTGAAACGTTGCTTGGACAAACAGCCTCCGTACAAAAAAACATGCTGAAAAATCAATCGCCAACAATTGTTGCTTGCAAAAGAAAAAAGAAAAATCCGGCAAAATTTCTGCGGAATTCATGAAAATTAAAAAAATTGACTCAATTTTGTTAGCTATTGAAACGATCATTAATTGAAACAGTTATAAAGCATGGAATTCGAATCCAGCCGAGATTCGACAATTGCAATAAAGATCAAACAGCTTGCAACGAATGTCTATGAATTTGCGGTAAAAATTCTGGTGAAGTTTACCTTGCGATGCTTTGCGACGAATATATGTAATTTCCGTAAAAATTCCAATTTGCCTTGCGATGCCTTGAGACGAATATTTGTGAATTCAGAATGTATAAATCCTTTTCTTTTTTCTTTCTTCCTTTTTTTAACAATGACTAAAACATGCAAGAATTCAAAGGGATATACGCTAAAACCAACACAACGAAACTCTTGAAGATGAGAACATCGTGGTTAAGACGTACATTTTCATGTCGAGTCCGGTCGGGATGACATAGCGGTGTTAGATTCGAGCGGGTGGTGAGAGGCGTCTTATGTGAAGTCCGTGTCGATTTGAGAGTGGCAATAGCGGGGTGTATGTGGAAATAGGCGGGAGGATTCCGGGAGTGTTTCGTTTACTGTTAGATGTTGGAGTGGTCACACTTAAGTAACATCAGATATTTAAGAACTTCTTTGCTTCATATATTTTCACGTATTGTCAGATCAGGAGAATCTTTTGTTATTGATATGTTAAAGTTATAGGTGGAAACAGAAGGTATAACTGAGACGATGATGGGAGAGGAAGAGAAATTATCACCACGTGTTTATCGTCGAATGGAAGACAGGAAAGCTTGGGATGCATATTGGCAGGTTGTTTTGTTTCATTTTGAGACATAATACGGTTGGGATGATATCATGTGAAGTACAAAACATGACAGCGATTTGAATAATGTGACAGATTCTAGTCCAAGATTTCAGAAACTACACTTTCCTGATACAGAAAATACCAGTAATTGTTGGTTCTGTTGTCGTTTCTGGAATATAATCATAGGTTATATTATTCCATTATTTAATTTCAGTTGCGAAAACTCGAAAGTGAGGGAAGCTATTACATCCGGCTTTTGTATTATGTCCATAAAGCGGTGGATACGCCGGTTACATGGTTCAGAGGTAGCTTTAACATGTCTAAGAAAAATTATTATTGTCCGTACTGTCTAAAGTCGCAGCGAATTTACATTTTTTTCTACTAGTCATTCTCTTGTTATTAGTCTACTAACTGTAGGCATTGTTTTAGAGAAGATCGTGGAGCCGTTGAATGACAAGTATCGTTCACCATACTATCACCGTAAGTTGAATCGGGTTCCGGGAATTGATGAGTGTGCTGTGGATGATTTGTCATGTTTTTATGAGGCCAATACACAATTCCGACTTGACAAGTTAGCTTCATGACTTACTTTCCATGAAATTCAGTCAGCAGTCTTAACAAGTATCTGTTTATAAATAACACAGTTATTTTTCTATTTGCTTTTGTACCTTCAAAAAAGTAGTAGTAAAGGTTGGTGGACCAGAACATCCTGGATATTCTTCGCCTGCGACTTTCCAGATGTATGGATTACAATGCTCCGAATTTCGTTCCGTGTGCAAAGGTAATTGTTTTCAGGTCAAGTGCACATAGTTTTAACGTCTTGGATAAAGCATCAGCTGCATTCATTTTGTTCCGACAGTTCCTTGAATTCTCTTAATGATGACTAATGGCTTTACTTTCATAAACTAATAAGTGGTAGAGCAAAAGTTTTTCAGTTGATAGATGATGTGGAGGAGAACGAGTTAAATTTCTTCATAAAATATGGTGAAATCGGGCAGGAAGGTGATGTTCGAGATGCCTACATGAAACAGAAACATCGAATGATTTGGGAGAGACGACATCCGGAAATAATGAAAGCACGCGCAGAAGCGTGCGAAGTAAGTATTGACATTTTGCATTCTTAATTTCCCCATTCTCTGCAAGTCCTTACCGCATACCACAGAAGTAGTCCTGTACGGACTCTAAAAACTCATTCAATAGTTCAAAATATTGGTACACTCGTTGGTAGTATGGTCGGAAATGAAATTTTTCATACTATGGCTGTCAGTGAAGATTTTGAAAATCACATTCATTAGAGTACTAGAGATTCATTCGTGAATCTTCATGGGATTTATAGGAACACAAAAGACGAGTTGCAAATGGTGAGTTTGATTATTCCTTCTGGAAAAAAAGGCTTCTGGCACAGCGATAAGAGCAGAATGGAGATGCCGAATGTTGTCCATCACAGCAAACCAAGCATTGAGGGTGACAAACCATTATCGTTTGACTGGCAGTTCTACAAGAAAGCTAAAGATGATCCGGAATTCCTAAAAGAGGAAAAGAAGAAGCAAAGTAAAGCAACAATGTTTGGTCCATGGTAGTATTGAGGTGAACTGTTTATCAGTTACATATTAGCGCCAGTCTGGGTTTTCTCAGTGCTTACTTCATTCTGCTGCTTTTAAAATGCTTGCCTGGTATGGTAATGCTAAAACCGTATCTCCGGAATCTTTTGTAGTCTAGGAAATGCTGTCTGTATATTTTGGGACTTTAGGATATAAAATACCAAATGTGTGACAGAAAAATTCAAGCTGAAAAGAGCAACAACAAGATTTGAGAACTTTCTCTTTGATTCAGTCCTTATAAGCAGCAGTTTTTTTATCCCAGCAGATCGGAGATAACTCCCACTGGATTAGATCTTAAACTGATCTGTTATAAATGAATTGAAAATTACTCTCCATAATTGTTGTTGATGCACGGATTAATATTCTGATATGCGTGCGTCATGACTTTGTTGGTTGTAGATTGTTTGCTACCGGTTATCTTTAGGGACGATGAAAAAGCTAATTTCTAAGTAGCTTTTCGCGCCATAAATGTACATTCATTGCTCATTACGTAAACTGTGAAGTAGTACAGTATTGCTTTTGCTCTGTAATTCAATTGTGTGTAAAAGATACTCCCAAAACAAAACAAACAAGTACTGTCAAAACGGAAACAATATACACAGTAATTCAACATTATGCAAATTTTATCACCGGTAATCTAACAACTATCGCCCATAAGTTCGGAGAAGTTTACGACTCGATGGCACCACTAACTTTCCCGTTTTGTAGTTTCTGTAGTTTGCGTTGCGGAGATGTTGCAGTATGGTTCTGGAAAGAAGAAAAAGGATTTATAAGTAGCGATACTATACAATTGGTTTCTTCATTCGTATGTGATCTGTTGATGTCGTCCACAAGCAAAATTTGCGGGAAGACACCGTTGACTCTTGGAACTACTATTCATTTGCAGTAAACGGCCCAACCTTAAAAGAACTCCTCTTGCTACGCGTAAAGATCTCTCCGTCATCAACCGAATTTTCCTCCTTGTTACCATCTTCACTCCTGGAGTGTTTGAATCGGAACTGGTCAATTTTTGAAATTAATCCGGGAAAACATTTACGCATCACATCGATCCAAGCATTTTGCAACATTTCACAACTGAAATAAATTGTATACCACTCTGAAACAGGCGATTGAAAAGGGTACATACACAGGAATCTCAAATAAATCCCAGAGACATTCTTCCCTAATATCATGAGTTCGAACTCCAACCATTTCAGAGCTCTCAGCATTTCCATCGTTCCCGCTCAAGCTTACCATTTCCAAACGTAAAGGTGCCATCTATTTAAGAAAAGTTGTTCTGACATAAGCTCCTAAACTAACTTGTTATCGATAGGTTTTGCACCAACATGAGGATGCTTAAGCGCCATGTGGGTACGTACATGGGCCGCTTCACTGCTAGTATATGAGCATTCCGAGCACTGATACTGTTTCAAATGATAATGTCGCTTAGCATGATTCATTAGTGAAGAAAGTGAACGGTAGTTTGGCATCATTTTTTGGCAGAGCTGTAATAAATTTAACAACTACGAATGAAAAGATGTCAACTTCTTCCGGTCATTTCTGAAGGGAAAAGAAATCTGAACATCTCATGCAGAGATGCGAAGCTATGGAAATATTGTTGAAACCGTTCAACTCTTCTTATAGGGAGTAACAAAAAATTAGTAAGTTCTCTTTTATGAACTTGCCTTGACTATGTTGAAATTAAGCTTAATAGTGGATTCATACCTCACATCGAACGTGATTTCCAGTATCATTATTGACTTCTACTATGGACGTTACATATCCGTTGAAATTTATAGGCGACATACTATTTCGTTCCTCTTTTGGCGCCAAACTTTGAAATTGCGTTAACATTTTGTTTTCTTCCTCATCAGCTGCAATTAACAAGTCTCGAATCTATATCCGTTAACCACAGCTTAAATTGATTAATCAAAGCCGTAACAAAGTGAAACTTGGGCGTCATGAAGTTCTCTTTGGCAAAACTTCGAGCAGGATGTGTCACACATATACCTGGTGTATCCGGGAAATATTTGTGAAGGAACATGACGAGGTTGCTACCGGGCTCCAACACTTCAACGTTTACATCGGCCGCAATTTCCGAATGTTTCAACGTAATATGGAGGCGTACTTTCCACTTGAAAACAAATGTAATGAACAAAGTATAAAGTAGTGCGCTTTAATTTCTGACAAAAAAAAAAAGGCTTTGTACACTAATCATGAAAAAATATTACAAACACTATTCAAAGACTACACCACATTTTGAATCATATAAAATTGCACGTTTCGTTTTTGCTTTTTTATAAAGAGATAAACCAAAATCTTTACCTGATCAGCATTCTGATAGCCACATTCCTCGCAGCAGTAGGGTATGCATTCTGTTCTGTGTACTTTATCAAGATGTTCGATAAGTGCTTCAGCACTAACTCGTTCACCGCACTCAATACAAGCATACGATAAATCATTCAGACCCGTTAACATTAAATCGGCCGAACGATCATTTTCTCCACCTTTGAATGTTGAAAACTGGAACGAAAAAAAGAGATCATACTATCGGATGAAACTCCATAATCAAAGAATAGCTGGATGGGAATTTTTCACATTTCCTAAACCAAATAAAGCATTTCATTTCTTAACACAAGCGAATACCTTGGAGTAACCCGGAAAACACTGATCCATGAGTAAATCCCACTGATTTTGCATTTCCGGCGTAAGTGCATCTAATGGCTGACTAACATGATCCTTATGATTATGTTGCATATGTAAACGTACCTAAAAATTATTATTGCATATTTAAATTTGAAAATATCAAGATTCAATGAAATATTTTGCATTCTCAATTTTTGCTTCGAAGCAAAAATATGTTTCAAAGAAATATAATGTTGTAGAAGGAAAAAAGTGGAGGAAAACTAACTTTAGCCATTTCATTATGAGTGTAGATGCAATAAACACACTGGAACTGTTTGAGCGATGCATGTCGACGGACATGATTGGTCAAATTTGATAGACGACTGGACATTATTTTGTTTTGACACAGCTGACAAATAGCATACAACGATGGGTCATCATTAGCAATCGCCCGTGACCCACGTGGTCGAGCAACGAACGGTATGGGTGACGGTATGGCAGTTGAAGTAGCCAAACCATGGATGGAATTAGAGCTAGACGGTGCCGGAGACGGATGAGTGATATGATGATCATCAGTAATAAGCAACTGGGAGTTATTGTCATCTGAGGATATTACTGAATCCTGCACAGCTACAGTGTTTGAGAAATGTGTAAGATCAGAAACAGGAGTCGTCGTTGTATTAAGC